TGAAAATAATATTCGTCAAGATGCCCCCCCTGGACCTAATAATTTCAATCCATTCAGAGCTAAATTAGGCTCTTGAAACAACAAATAATACTGCCAAATTGCAACAAAATCGAGTAAACATTTCTTAAGATATTAAGAAAATATTAAATTTCATGGACCTCGAAAACTTTTACGAACTTTTTCATATCTTTCAACAAGGAATCGCACTCTAAAACATTTTTCTCTATTTTTTGAACATCTTATATATACATATATATATATATATATCATTGTAGTATCATATTTCACAAATTTAAATAAAAAGCATAGAAAATGGCAAAAACTATGCAAAGATAATGTGAGCAACATTTTTTTTGCTGTATAATCATGATAAAATATCTCATATAACGCATAATACATACCATATAATCGATAGACTCGCGATAGAGATTGAACTTCATTAAAACAATAACGATCTTAACCATGATATTACCGTCATTCTTGCAATATCTGCACTTATAATCATAGTAACGATATTTATACAGACAAAATGCTATTTTTTACCATAAAGCGTCAGTACAAGTCAAAATCGTCAAAACACTGAAAAACACGAAAAGTCGGTGTTATTAGGACAGATGCGAGTACAGATAGAATGTTCAGAGAGACAGTAACAATAAATTACCTAAATTTTGATCAACATGCGTAAGGCATAATCATTTGGTTGTTAGCAACAGGTGTTTGTGGTGGGTGGAGGGGTCCTGACGTGTCCAAATCGTACAAAAAAATCTAATACTGGGATGTATTCGAACATTAAAAGTTCTCACGCGTTCTTGCAACATTATCAGTTAGTGTAGTAGACTTCTTGATGTCCACAAAAGTATATCCATCGATATAGAAGTCATAGATTGGAAAGGAAATAAAAAACACTTGATTTTCTAATTTACTCTGACTGTACTTCAACTCGAGTGACCGTCGCTCCCTACTCGATGGCTGATTCTACGCTAAGCTTAATTTAAGAATCTTCGTTCAAACCATTCAGAACTGTTTTGCGCATGTTGATCAGTAAGCAAAAAAACTCGTAATATGCACCTGATATTTTCCATACACGTCAGTCTACATAACTAATTCTTCAGACTACCGATAGAGGGCGTAGTACAGCTTAATACCAGTTTCACTAAAAATAATCATAAAGACTTGTATCGAATTAAATTTATTTATTAGACGCCTCTCTCTATCTAATATGGCCTTACTAAGAGCGGCTTAATCATTTTCTTGATCTGTAATCTTTCATAAAAAGAGCTTTTTAGCATTCTTTTATTCAACTGCATGTTCGTGTACAGGGTGATTCACAAGTCGCCAAAAAATGAAACATCATACGCAGGACCGCATTTTGAGGGGGTCTTCTATATAACATGTTTTCCTTGAGGGCTTCATTAAAAACATACGGCGTGTTGAAGTTTGAAAATAAAAAACAATTTTTTATCACCTTCAAAACAGTCAACTGGAATGAACTAAAATTTGGTATGTGGATTTACCTAAGTATTCCCCAAATTCAAAAGCATTTACTTAAAATTAACGTGTACCAGTGGCGGAGATACAGGGGATTATGTTGCATTATTATTCCAAATAAAAATAGTACGCCACTGAAAAAAAACACAAGAGTGATTATTTGCAGCAAATTACGGGTAAAATCCGAAAAATAACGCGTTTCGAAAAAACAGTGGCGTACTATTTTTATTTGGAAAAATAATGCCACTAATCCTCTATATCTCCGCTACTGGTGCACGGTAATTTTAAGTAAAGACTTTTGAATGTGGACAATGCTTGGGTAAATTCACATACCAAATTCCAGTTGACGGTTTTGAAGATATTGAAAAAAATTGTTTTTCATTTTTAAACTTCAACACCCCGTATCTTTTCAATGAAGCCCGCGAGTAAAAAATATTACATCGAAGACCCCCCCTTAGAATGCGGTCCTGTATATGATGTTTCATTTTTGGTCACGACTTGTGAATCACCCTGTATGCTAGAAATCTCCCTAACTTATTAGGATATGGAATACCTTTCTATAAAGATATTTTGAAGGATTACAAAATGTATCTTTTTCATAAATGCCTAATTAGTCATTGTTATAGCTGTAATTTGCTTAGGTGGTTATGTACGTAATTTTCTATATTATCAAAATACTATACCAACAATTATAAATACACAAAAGCTAGTCAGAGAACTTCATTTGCAAACTGTTTTATCATCGCAACGGTGATTTTAATATTCAAATCCGTCCAAATAACGTTTACGTAATATATGATGTTGCATTTGGTGTTATTATAGATATAAATTGGCTATATATACATTCGTTGCATTATATATGTGTTTTAATAAAGTTATGTGTTTTATTATTCCTCTTCCCAAATACACTTACCTATAATTCTCATTATTATACCTGTAGATTGGAATAAACTGGTACGGTATTTGCTGTGAGCGCTACGACTCGGAACTTGAGACCTATATCGATTCTTGGCAATTAGATTTTCATTAACAATTTTCGACTTGTTTTTCATTGAAATTAAATCAATCAAAGTGAATATACCTAAAAGCACGACATATAAATAACCCGTCATATTCGGCAAATTCAGTAATGATTTTCTCACACAGCAAATATCACTGATTTTATACACATGCAGACCAATACACATAATCATCCAGATGTGATCTTGCTATTCATCCAACTTTCTTCTCAGAGATAAAAACTACAGACCCGGAACACTCAGCCTCACAAAGCTATGCAACCAATAATGCGTACTTTAGTTGAGTGATTCCTCCATAGATGGACGTTCACAACGATCCTAGTGAGCAAACGTGGAATGACTGCGCCCTAAACACTACCTAGTTCTGCAAGTTGACATCCTATAGGTTTTTTTTTTGACGTTTTATAGGTTTTTTACATGATACCCGTGCGGAACGAGTACATAACAAGTGCTAGTGCTATGTTGACATCTTGTAGAAATCACAAAAAACCTAAATAATGTAAAAGAAAAAACAATGTCACTTTTCAAGATACGTGATACCCCTTCAGACTCCTCCCAAACTAGTTTCGGAATTAAGTTTTAACATCGAATGAGCCCTGGAAATTCTTGCCTGTATCATTCAAAACAAAGCCGCAGGTACATCGTTATTGGAAAAACATATCGGTTAATAGTCTGAACTGTCTTAATTTAACAGATAAGTCGCTATCAAAACCATTTCCCGTGATTCCTATGATTAAAAATGTTTCCTCAGTTCAAATCCTACCTGCCTATGTCGCTGAACATCTTCTCAAGTAAAGCCCAAGGCACAAACGGCACTATTTCACTTTCCACAAGGCATATCACACACTTATTAAAAAAACGGTCGTAAATCCCGTAAAAAACACTTCAAATAGTTCAAATGCAAGAAAAACTGCAGATTCCGAGGCGTCGGTTGCAAAATATCGGAATACACGGATCACGTGACTCTCTCAGCCGTCTTCGATCTGAGGAATCGACCGGCGCGCAGCCAACTAGAGATTTGTCTGCTTTTATGTTGATTAACAATGATCGGTTCACTGGACAGGTGGATCGGCGCTGTTCGTAAGGCACTCGTGTGTTTCCGTAAGAAGTTCGGCATTTATAGGTTTGCGAATAAATAAGAGTTGAATTTTGAAATATTTTTTATTAATGGAAATTCTGTCTTGACATCTATAAATTAAAATGATATTAAAAAAAATTAAACCACATACGTCAAAAGGTGAATAAATATTAATTTATACACAGCTGTTGAACTATATATAGCTGGGAAAGCTTGACAAGAGTTTTCATTGCTCTGCATAATCAACCTAACATGTCATATTTTCCAAAATGTTGATAATTTTCATTTTCATTCATCCTAAAAAATATAACAATACACAGAAAATATAAATTTTGCAGCTGACAGGTTTTGACAAATAATCATTCCATTGTTCGTCTAATCACGGCCTACTAATACTTATAGAATACTTAATAAGAGTGTCGTATAGACACATTTTGCAAAATTATGAATTTTAGATTTATTATTTAAAATAGATATCGTGTGTTATATATTTTTGTAAAGCTTATAAAATTTTCAGTTGAACGAGAAATAATATACAGGGTGTTTCATCAAAAACCTAAGTTTGATTTATAGCAACAAATTAACATATCATAGAAAAATTCTGACTACGTCACTGGATTCGACGTGAAAAATTGTACAAAAGCCCGTTTTCAGCTTTGCGATATAGGTAATTAGGGTTAACGGGGGTCCCAAAATAGAGTATTTTCAATTTCGCCCTCTATCTCAGAATCGATCGGGGCTATAAAAATTTTGTTTTATTTTCTGCATAATTGAACACTACAATGATTGTAATTTGTATTCGTAAAACATAGTTAAACTTACAACCTCAAAGTACTGCCTAAAAGATGGTAGATGCTATAGATGCATAAATTTCCGATCAACTGGAAAGGCTAACTGGCTATTCTGCTGGGAAAAATTATCATCCAAAACGATTTTTTTTCTGAAATTAATAATTTTTGAGATTCAAGCGATTTAGTCTTTGAAAAGGAACAATACTTCCGAAAGTATGGAAAAACAAAAGTTTTAATACTGCCAAGGTTCCTAAACATTCTTCGTCAACTGCCCATTAATAAGATCACAAATCATTTTAGAGGATATTGTTATTGTTTTTTAATCGTTAGTCCAGCGCGCATTTAATATAACTTCTGCGTGGCCTAGTAACATGCAAATTCATTAAAAGGGTTTCTTTGAATAAGACAATTAAAAAGTCGAATCAGTTTTTTCTCAAGAAAAATGTGAAGATACTTCATAGACTAGAGAATAATGGCAACATTCCAGTATAAGTAGAACTGCAAAACGTCAAAGTACGCCTCTTTTGCGGCCGCGCCTCCTCATTTGACCACGCCTTTTTTCCTCAGTTAACTACTATTGGAATCGCGCTCCGTGGCACTTCTCTGCTTTGAATTTGACAGATGCCGAAATTTCTTAACCAAACATTTTTGAATATGTAAATAAACGTAAACGAAGACGGAACTTTTCCAAATAAACATCTTTTATGTGGAGAATTTTAAGAATGAATGCAAAATCTTGTTATCTGTTACAGATAAGTACACAAAAAAGGCTGAATTTGCCTCACCAGCAAGTGATAACACTAGGGAGAAATATCGATACTGAAGTGCAAGATGTGTACGTTTCCAAAAAACAATTAGAAGTTGTCGCAGATTACGATAAATATACGCTTAAAGTAAAACCAGTGGGTAGAGCTATTTGCGGCATTGATGGATATGCTACTGTTAAAGATAAGACTTATACTATAGGTCATGGTCATATCATTGAACTTAGATTAGGGTACCATCAGTATCAGATCACCTTTGATCCTCCACCAGAAATGGAAAAGAATGGTGAAGAAAGGTAAGTGCTTGATTCCTTATATTGCATCGCATATAAGATCAGATATAGAAATGTAATAGTTCAGGCATTTAATGATTCCAAACATGATGAAAACAAAAAATCAAATTATACATTTATCATTATGTGAAATAAAACGAACAGCAACTCATGTAGCTACACTTTAACACATAGGGGAATGCTAGATGAAATAAGTTTGAGAACAAATGCTACTGTTAGACGTTTTTAAATTATCAGGAAAATAAAAAAGTAAACTACTTTTTTGCAGTGACCCAGACCAGCAAGATGAAACTGTACCTGCTGCCAAAAAACCAAAGTTAGATTTTCCTATATTTAATAACAAAAAGGATGAGATAGGTGGTTCTGCTAAAAGTGGAAAATGGGAATCGGTGGACAAAAAGGAACTACTGATATTCACACCAGATGATATAAAACCAAGTAAAAAAATAGCTGCTTTTGATATAGATGGCACAATCATCAGAACCAAATCAGGTGACAAATTTGCAAAAGACCTTGATGATTGGGTCTTTTTTCTCAGTGATATCCCACAGAGACTGAAAAAGCTACACGATGATGGGTATAAAATAGTGTTTTTCACAAATCAGGCTGGTGTCAGCAATAATAAAGTAAAAGTTGATGAACTTAAACAAAAAATTGAGAACATTTTGAAAAGAATCCCAGTTCCTATCCAAGTATTTATTGCGACAGGCAAGTCCATTTATAGAAAACCTGCTCCAGGAATGTGGAATTGCTTACAAAATGAAAAAAATGCTGCAGTGGAAATTGACAAGGACAACTCGTTCTATGTGGGAGATGCTGCAGGTAGAGATAAGGCACCATCTAGAAAATACAAAGATCATTCATGCGTAGACAGACTATTTGCTCTCAATATCGGTCTGAAATTCTATACCCCTGAAGAATTCTTTCTCAAGCAAAAGCCTGAGTCTCACAAAATGCCAGAATTTGATCCTAAAAGCTTGCCTGATGAGCATTTTCCTGAAGTTGATTTTCCTTCTCCGAATGTGATACTAATGGTTGGAAGTCCTGGTTCAGGAAAGAGTCATTTTTGTAAACATTATCTAGTACCTAAAGGATATGTACATGCCAGCAGAGACAAGTTAGGGTCATGGCAAAAATGTGCCAAGCAGCTAGAAGAAGCTTTAAAAAATGGTAAAAATGTTGTAGTCGATAATACCAATATGGATAAGGAGTCTAGGGCAAGATTTATTGAGATTGCCCAGAAATATAAAGCTGACTGCAGGTTTGTAATGTTTTTACATTCATTTTATTTTATGCATTATACCTAACACAAAAATGTTTGAACATTATCTGAAAGTTTGTCTATTTCTGTAAGGTTAAAAATATTCTTTCCCTTTTATAAGACAATGGAATAAATTGTTTGTACACCATATTGACAAGACTGTTTTCAAGTAATATGTTATTGATTCTGATCGAGAGGAATACCTTACGTTTTTGAATGACTTTGACCTTAATGCAAAGAAGGTAACTAGTCTCAAGGTCAAGGTCACATACAAAGAAACTTTCCCGTGGTTTCCACGTATGGGCCATGTAAGTTTTCCAGTTTAAGTTTTGTGACCTCTAAATGACTGAATGTCAGGGCCATTGTCAAGGTCGTTTCCGAACGTGAAATTTTCATCTTCAGGGCAAAAATATTCCGTCATTATAAACATTAAATGACCTTGAAGGACGTGATCAAGGTCATGGTAGAGGTCACTTTTAAGCATAGGATTTCTTACACTTTACATCGGTGCAGTCAAGATGATTCGGTTCTACTTAAAACGTTCAAGTTGACCTCTATCTGATTGAAGGTCATTTTCAAGATCGTGATTACGGTGCCATTGTTATGTTACTGTCAAGCATAAGAGGTTAGGAATTGCGGTGTAACCTTACAACTTCCTAGTTAACTAGTAGATGATCTCATTAAAGCTAACTACCGCTTTAGGAAAAACCTGATACATTTCAAGTATTTATTTCTGGTTAGCTGTAAAATCGCAGTAAACCTGCAACTGAAAAACTAGGCCTATTTTTTTTCTTTTAAGGTGTTTCCTCATGGTAACAGACATTTATCACAGCAAGCATAACAATAGGTTCAGAGAGCTGACGGACACCACACATGAACCTGTTACAGATATAATCATAAACAAATTGAAAAAGAGTTACCAGGAGCCAGAGCAATCTGAAGGTTTTGAAGAAATTATAAAGGTACCTTTTATCCCTACCTTTGAAAATCAAGAGCATGAGAAGCTTTATAAATTGCATTTATTAGAAAAGTAATTCCTGCGTTTTTATTTTGTCGTGTGATACTTGAAGGATAATATAAGCATTTCATAAATCGTATGGTTCATTTTTCTCAATCCTCAAAGATCATGTATAATAATCTACAGCTAGTAGATTCTTTTAGACTATAATTGTATAAAATGAAAAACACAGATTTGAACGCAATCAAGCGTATTTGATTACAAAATTTTTCGTACGGGGATTCACGTGTTTTTATAGCAGACAATATGAACTAATTTAAATATGGCAACGTCGCACAGACGTCATTCATTCGGGGAAAAAAGAATGTCACCAACGTCCTGGTAGGAGATGTCGATACACGCCAGACCTTTCTGAATTGCGTTTCTGAAACCACGCCTCTTATTCTTATTGGATGAAAGGGGGGACTTATATTCTTGAACCACGCCTTTTTTTCTAGTTACGTCCCTAGTATGGAAGTTGTCAAAAAATTTATGCCACGGTTGTCAATGTCAATCAAACTAGTTTTATTTACAATTTTCGTCCATGATAAATCTTATCATTTCTTATACGCAAACATTCAGGTAAAATGATTAATGTTATGAATTTCCAAACTAGCTGTATGATAAGAATTGAGTGCCGGATTCTCACTGTTTATATCCCATCTTCGAATGCGGATGAATCATTTTTATGTAAGAGCTCGGACAAAATGGCGGATGTTTTTTTTACTTTCCCATTCCAATTTATTGGAATAATCACAAAATATTCTGTAGGATATTAAAGGTTTTTGTGAAAGTGACAATTAATTACCAGTGTCGATTATTGATCTCGTAGGTATATCGTAGTGCGTTGTTATCCAGTGTGTATGCGTGGATTGTTATCTTCGATTTGTCAATGGTATATTTAAAAAAGAATGTTCATTCAGAAATGCATATTTATCTTATCGTACGCGTATGATTCAGACTTCAGACCACACAAGTCTAAACATGTATAGTGTTGTTTTCGATTCCTACGCTTTGATAATACGAAGTAATACTTGGATCTCGGATAGATCTTTGAATTTTGTTAAATTGTTTTGATATACTGGGTGTAGTGACGTTTTAGTTACTAATTTGCATATTGTTTTAAGGTATATCGATGATCAAAAATTTAAGGTACTTGTGGACAAATAAGGTGAGATCATCATGTTTTTGAACATTGCTTATGAAAATATGTTTACTGCTTATTATCCTTGAAAGTATAACCTTGTTATCAGTGTAAACACCAAATATACAGATAACTGGTATTATTTCATTCATGATTTAATTGATTCATTTGTGTAATGTTTCTATTTTTATGCTGATGTTAAGTATAATCAAGCAATTTAAAGACGTGTTACTCCCTAATGTACAGTATCATCATATATGTAGAGATAATAGAAAATTATATGCACCACACTTTAATGCAGAATTATATCTAGTTGCTGTACAATAATATTTCTTGGAGGTACATTTTCTTGCATGTTGTCATATTTTAATACTAATATCAGCTTTTTGTTCCTTTATACAAAAGATTTATTTTTTATTATTGGATGTTGCTACAATTGAATTATCTTTAGTCATATTTATTTGAATATGTATCTTTCAAAATATTCACAATATCTAGAACTTCTAAGTAACAGGTATTTTAGGTATAATAAGTTGATCACAGTGCAGATTGAAATTAGTTATTTCAGGTTCCTTATTCATTGAACGGGTATCATCAAACATGGCTCAAGTTCTTATATCAACATAAACTAATCAGTAGATTACAAAAACAAGATATTTGTGCAATATTGTTGAGCTCTATGTCAAAAAATTATTGGTGATTACAGTATTTTAGATGCTTTGACATTTCTATATGTTTTTTCAATTGTTTTAATATGCTTCCACAGACTTTCAACAATAAAATTGTGTGCATTACTAAGCATATGGTGTATTTTTTAATTCACCGGTTGAGCAACCGGTGCCACCGGTGGACCAGACATCCGTCCTTTTAATTCAACCGGTTGCTGCCGTCACCATACAAAGCTGTCAACAGTGTCAATCAACCATAAGCACCGCATCCATCAGTGGTGGAATCAACCGGCGAATTAAAGAATTCACCTTTTTATTCAAAAAATCACAACTGAAAAACAATACTGATATAGAGAAACATTTCAGCTTTGCAGCTAAGCAACATAATAGGATTGATTTATTTGTATGACTATATTTTGACAGTCTCTTATAGTCATAAACAGTCAGAAATTCGTTGTTGAAAAGAACCCATACATGATCAATTTGCAATCTAAAGATACCATCCTTAATCTTGTTTAATTTTTTGCAGTTTTGGTCAGTTTTAAAACTTTCCTACCTACATATTAAAACTATCTAGAACACAAATTATTATTTAGCATGTTTTACCTTAAATATACAGGGTGGGCCATTAAGTTGAGCATGTTTTAGAAAAACCATAGGAAAAACTACAAAGCATAGGGAAGATAATTTATATTTTTAATAAAGTAGGGTGTTGCGTCTTGTAGAAATTCCGATTTCACTGTTTTTTCTCTTAAAACTTTTAGAGGGCATGAAATTTTTTTCCCAAAACTCTATTTTTAGCTGTTCTTTCCACCATTATTTCCACCGCCATCTATCTGCCGTATGACGTAGACATCTGTGCATATGTCATATATGAGAGGTGCTTGCCTGCGGTGTTGCCGGATTGGGCTCCGCATTTAGGGAAAAATATGAAAAGTGGAAAATTTATATACATATACATATTAATTAATGGATCACAAAAACGAAAAACTGAAACAAACAACAGTAGCAAAATAAAAGGTGATTCCTAATAAGTATAAATCAAAAAATAACAGTAGTAAGCTAAAAAATGATAAATTATGAATAATTATAAAAAATAGAGTTCAATAAAAAGCAACAAAACAATTTCTTCCATCGATATTGTACTGTTTGTTTTTTTTTGTTTTCTATAATTACATGGAATTGTTTTTTGTTTTACTACTGTTTTATTTTTTGTTTTTTATTATCATATAGAACTGATTTTTATTTTACTGCTGTTTGTTGTTTTGTGTTTTATACTTAGTAAGAATCACTTTTAATTTTACTACTGTTGTTTGTTTCAGTTTTTTGTTTTTGTGTTTCATTAATTAATATAGATGTATATAAATTTTCCACTTTTCATATTTTCCCTAAATATGGAGCCCAATCCGGCAACACCGCATGCAAGCGCCTCTCATATATGACATATCCACAGACGTCAACGTCATATGGTAGATGGCGGTGGAAATAATGGGGGGAAATACCTGCTAAACAATACAGTTTTTTGGGGAAAAAAAATCATGAAAAGCGTGCTCCATCCACACTTTTTATGATTTAAAATAATCTATCATGCTACCTTCTATAAGTTTCAAGTGAAAAAACAGTGAAATCCCAAGACGCAACAGTATCTAACAACACTACCTAAAGTAGACACGTGGGAATTTTATTTTGAAAAAATAATATTACTGAGATGCAAGTCATCGAGGCGTATGCACTTTTTGACTTCAAATTCATGAGAACTCGCTGGCACATCGCTCGTGGGATAGCAGACATCTCTTTGGAAATGTTGTGCTTGAGCTGTTTTCCCGTAATCATTTCGTGTACAACTGTTATAAACTCGTTGGCGGTATGGGATGTCGTACCAGATTGTTGAAATCAGGTGCTGCTATGGTAGGCTTCAAAATTATGCAGTTGTGTTATGCTCTGGCCTTGCTTGTTTTTGAAGAAATAATGTCCGATATTTCTATCAGCCGACGTGTCCGCCCAAACTGTAACATAACGCGAATGCAAGGTTCGTTGGTGTTTTAATTTGGGTTTTTCTGCGGCCGAATATCGGTCGTTTTACTTGTTCCATTAAAAAAATGCAGTTAGGTTTATATTTTTGGTATCAGCAGTTTTTTGCATTGTAACAGAGATTTAAAAAAAATCATAATACAGTGCATATAATTTTTCACAAATTTAAAAATGAAACAAGAGCAAACTAATAGAGTAGGGGATAGTTATAAAGATAATTAATTTAGTTTGTCTAGTGCATCTCATGCTTCATCGGATTTATAATGGGTGACCCCAAATGTTACCTGTTTTGTGCATTGGTTTCTGACCTTCAGAATCATTAATTTAATCATTTCAAAAAACATTAGAGGCATTTCTTTTGTTTCTGAAAAATTATCCATACTTGAAATATCCCCAAAATCTGACTAATTATTTTGGTTAAAAAACGAATGCGCATAAAATTCGGTAAAAGTGTCGATCTTTGGTAGTAAACTTCAGTCATTAGATTTTGGGGTTATCTTAACCCCTATATAGGGGTACTTTTTGAATACTTTTAAAAACAAAAAGTAATGCCTCTTTTGATTTTTCATAATGATTGATTTGATGTCTGGGAAACTTCTTAGGTTCATTCTTAAGGTCAGAATCTGAAGCGCAAAAACGGGCGACTGTTTCGTGTCAGCACTTTATTTTTAAGGTTATATCACAAATATCTGCCATCATCTAATTGTTCATGCTTTTATGTCATCTGTTTTGTCAGCCTGAAATTTCCTACAATTCAAAAAGAAAACATAACTTCGCATTAGGAGAGTGCTGACACTGACACGGAACAGTAGAAATCTAGAAATATCCCAGCCTTTCTGAAGGAGAAAAAATACTATGAAAATCAAGACGTCCTACAATTATTGGAACGACTAACGATACGGCCCTTACTCATTGACTCTCTGCAATGTCATCTATCATTTAATAATGTAGCTTTATGATCTAACTGTTGAAAATAACTTTTTTGCAGGTTATGTAGCTGAACATGAAATGTAAATTCCACTGCTTCTACACCTACCTGACCGACAAGGTGTTCCAAACTATGGACCTTACTGCCCCTGGGCCTTCAGCAAGCTGTTCCTGTGAAGTCCAGGATTCCCATACAAACCCCTCGGCACCCACTTCCTCTGACGTTGAGGCTGTTTCGGTCGCCAGAGATAGAAGCAGAGGTAGGATCAGCTTGTTTGGGCTGTGTAGAGAGAAGCAGTTGCCAAATACGATATCGAAGAAGTCAAAGAAGTCCTCGCAGAACAGCGCCGCTGGATCTGGCATAGGGCTGAGCATTGTAAAAAAATCACCGAGGTTGTTCAAATATCTCTGTCTGAGGAGGGAGCCTAAGAACACTTTGCAAGATATGCAAGGGTGTTGTCAGTGCACTTGCTACAGGCGGAGGAATGATAGTACAGCTGGTAAGGGATTTTGAAAGTCTCTAGGTTTACTTTTCATTAGGAATGCACCAAATACCCGGTACTTGGCATACTTGGTCCATTTAAAAAATTAGGAATCTAGAAGTGTCCGTTTGATGAAGGTCTACATTGCGATTTTCTCTTTCAGGTTCAAGAATGTTTTCCTCGAACGAGGACAACAGATCTTGCGGCCAGCGAGCCGTTAGCAAAAACAGTTCACAAGCGCACTTCACGGAATCGGCAGAGAGCATAGAAGGCCGCGAAGATTCAGCTGTAGCTTGGCATCAAGTTGAAATCGAGCCGTCTACCGGTTTGAGAGGGATATACGGCACCGCGCCTGCGACTAGCTCGATTCCTAGCTTTATTATTGGTGCTGAAGAGATGTAAGTTGATATTAACACCTCTGAAGAAACTAGTAAATTGCGTTCCCATTCCTAGTGGAATGATTGCCGCCATACTTTGGCTCTTCTGGTTCATAAAATGCGGGTAACTGCTTCGCATATTTTTGTTTTTCTCCTCTTATAGCTTTTCATGCGACTTGGCACTATTAACTACCTTCTTCCAGTCTTTCCTATCCTTACAGAGTTCTCTCCAGCTTTTAATCTCGCGGTTTCTATATCTGTACATACTTGGTCTTCCTCTTGTTCTAGCTGTTGTTGGCTTTCATTCAATAATCTTTGTGATCAGCCTATTATTGTCCCTTCTGTCACCTTAACCTTTGGGACTTGATAAATCTTACAATATCTTCCCCATTGAGCACTCTCAGAATTTCCTCATTTCAAAGCAGCCTAAGCTCTTCATCTTATTTTATTGGTCCCATAACTCTTCGGATAATGATAATAATAATTTATTCCAAATGATCAAATTACATGGCATAGGAAACGCCGATGCACACTTAAAGGATAGTATACACATTTATAATTCCACAGAAGAGTTAAAACTACAGGCTATCTCAGAGTACAAAACATTGCAGAAGAAACGTTTGCGTTTTAAAGCTATACATTTTCGTAATATCTGTATAACAACTAAAAAAGTGCAAAAATAGCATTCTGCAATATTTTAAAGCACGTGTTTGTCAACTGGAATCTTCTTTCTATACCATTTATATATCCATAGATAACTTTAAAATGGATACAAAATTTACCGTTATTATCACCTCCTCCTATGATACTAGTAGTAGTAGTATAAGCATGTATAATTTTAGCCAAATTTCAAATATAAAGTTCACATGGTATCTCAAAAGAAAAGTAGCATAGTTAAAATCTCACATTAGATGTGAATATAATACAGAGTCTGTTGCCTCACACTTTAAACATAAACATGATATAAGATATCAACTTTTTTCACTTTTTCTTTTTTTTGATCCATCTTTCGCTTTTCATTGAAAAAAATCACTTTTCTCACTATTTTCGCTCGCGCTGTGCACAAAAAATGTACGCCACTGCCTTTTTTGTAACTTTAAGACTTGTTGTTTGATTAAGCATCTAAAAATACAACTTCTTTGAATCGTGTATTTTTTTCACATCTTACTTGGTTTTCGAGAAAAAAAAAATAAAATAAAAACCGTTTCATAGCATGTCAAAAGAACAAGATAATCAATAACAGACCTGTATTAATACCGTTATCTCAATTGTTGCGACTCTTAATTGCCCAATTTCAATCAATTAACCTGGCGATCGGAGAGTGTAGCTGTCGCTTTTTTATGAATGCAAAACGTTATCTCCGAATAAATCAGCTTGGAAAACAAATTAAAACAGCATTTCGCTTATGAATCAGTATTTATCGTTTGTTTACAATTGCTGCACATAACCGATTGCATTTGAAACGCTCAATGTTGTGGAGTGATTTCGGTATGAGAACGCGTGATGACTATTTTGCTATGGAGAGATTCATATGCAGGTGAATAATTTTCCCTTATTCTTGGTTTTATTGGTAAATTTGGAGATTGTAAAGCGGTACAGTCGGGAGTATATTTTCACATAAAAACGGAAACATTGTTCAAATAATGGTAAATAACTGTGTACTATCAAAGTAAACTGGCTTAGGTTTTTTATACAATATTCAAACCAATTTTTTTCAAAAGAAAACTGGTAACTACCTGTGCTGTCATCTTGTTCTTTATCTTAAAATAATACCGCTTAGGAGTTAACCTACTTGACGCGGTTTACGAGAGAGCATCCCGGGGCAAATCAAAGGCGCCAAGCTGTTCCATAATAAGGCATTTTTACTAATAGAACAAATAAGTCGGCAAGTTCTACGAATACTGAAGCAAAACATGTTATTTGTTCGGTTGGACTTTTTTCATCTTGATATCGGAATACTTCATAGATAAACTGTTCATATTCTGTGAATAATATCAGGAAAACATGGTTTTCTGCACGATATTTCAAAGTCGATATTGTGAAGAGTCCATAATAAAAAATTAAGTGTATCGTTCAAGTTTCTTGAATTATTGCGAAAATGATTAACTCTACAAGTATTGCGAATGTATAATTATTCAAGGTCGTCCACGCTGCACCTTATCACATCGATGGGAGTTAATGACCTAGTTTCCATTTTGTTGATTGAAATGAAAAGTAGAAAACTACCTTAACAAGCACGACTCAGAATAAACGAAGTACAAATAAATAATTATAATTTAATATTAATAATGTGAATATTGACAGTTAATATGAAAAAATCATCGTGTCGAATGTGCAAAAAGAATAAGATATGCTTATACTTAGTGCAAAAATTCATAACAAAAACATTAACGATAAGCATGTGGCAAGTTGATAAGAAAATTTGGATCTGTGTCTAATATTCGCCGTAATCGCCATAAGGAAAATCGACCAGTTAGAAATAGCAGTTTTTCGGACACGTAGCACTTGACAAAAATTTTGAAAGACAGTAAGTTTCACTTGTACAGGATAAAATTTAATGAAGACGATTTCGATAGAAGGTTGCAGCTTTGCGAGTTTATGTCCCAACACTTAATCAACAATGCAAATCTGTTATTTAATATTTGTTTCTTTGAGTGTACATTCTATATACGTGATGCTGTAAATAGTCAGAATTGTCGATATTGGAGTGACTCGAATCCACATTTCTTTCGAGAGGTGCGCTCGCAATATCCTGAAAAAATAAATGTGTATAAAAACTCATAATGTTTATAGTGTCAGATAATCCATGAATTTGTCCCTTGGTCTCAACACCGCAAAAACATAATCAGGGTGACCTTGAAGAAATCTATGTGAATAAATTCGTGAAGACATTGTTGATGTTAAACGGGTATCAAAATTAGTGCATGCACGAGAGCTTTCTTCGAGTTTTTATCATTACTGTTCTAGAACTACCAGGAGCATGCACAGAAGAAACCGACGTGTTCGGGTTTCTATTGGATTAGCGGACCGTTTTAGAACTGAAATTTGGTGTTCGAGTTTTATCCTGGTTCATTTCTAGGATGGTTCAAGCAGTTCTTGCTTTACTTATTTGAACTGATCTTTCACGCATGCGTATTCCTTCTGCCATTGTCATTGTATTTCGGAAGCCACGCATTTTTCGACTCATGTTTATATAGACTTTATGCATTACTTTTAAAAGTTCTATCGAATCTTAAAGTTATGCAACAATAAACTGAAACACCCTGTATAGTATTTACAAATATATTGCAGCTTCACAACTCTGAACAAAAGGCATACGTCTCAAATAACATAATAGGGACTTCATTCAATCAAAATGAAATGTTTGTTACGTACAACGAAATGGCTTGCGGAAAAAGGGGAAAAAGTAAGGTTATTTTTGCAAAGTACAGTCACAGGAAGAAACCCGCCGGAAATTTAAATCTGACCAATCAGACAATGTCAATTATGAATAAGCCGCCATTTTTTGAGAGTGCGACATGGTTGTCATATTGTGCACCCGCAACACTGCTTTGTTTCCCATTCGCTCATAAGTTCCACTCCCCTGGATAGATACATAGAGATCTTCCCCTTCACGCATTCAGTCTTGCGCAGTTCCAGAACCGTTCTGCGACAGTGCTGAATTTAGAACTCCAAAATAGCTGAGATTTTTGCAGTGACCGTTTATTTGCAGGCTGCGCAGCCAGCACCAGCACGAAGACTGCGAAGAAGCCGCTCGGCTGGCGCGCGCTCGCGAGATAGAACAAGGCGTTGAAGCACCGGCTAACTTCAGGCCTGTACGGCGCGTCCAGTTGCTGCCATCGGCCGCCCCCGGCGGTGGAGCGGGCGCCGCCCCCTCGAGCAGTAGGGAGGAAGGCGCCGTCTCCGAAGCGGCTGGAGAATGCGCGGCGCAGCAGGCGCCGCTCAGGAGATTACAGCTCGTCTGTCCGCCCGACTTGAGTCTGGAGAGTCTCAGGGCGTTGTTCAGGCATCACGTGACATTAAGGTAAGATACGGCAGGAGAAACGGTATTTTTTTCATTTTTTAAGGATGAAAAATAATTTCAATATCTTTAATAATAGCATATCATTGAATTGGAGCCTTATACGAGGTCTGTAAATTAAGTGACGTAGCAAGCACCACCAGAGGTACCGGGCTTGGAGGGGAAGCAGGGGAACACGATCAGCCTTCAGTATAAGTTTCAAATCAAAGCACCAAATCATTTTTCAAATTTCCGAATTTTTCAATTACTTTCCAAATTTTGGAGCCAACCCTCATTCATACTTTCAAGCTAATAAAAGCGTGTTAAACATAATAGGTATCTATTTAGTGGATTATTTGTGAGGATGAGACGGAATTTTTCTAAGGAATTTCCAAGTGAACCAGTTTATCATTTTTTTGTAGGTCATGTCCACTGGATAGTATAACAGGATGCCACACACAAGTGGATTATATACACTGTCTCGTACCGGATCTATTGACCATCACAAACTGCAGTTTCTATTGGGGTAAGTTTTGAATGTGTACTTAATTTTGTTTGTTCCTAATTTTGTTGCATTTACAGGTAAAATGGACAGGTACGAGGCGGAAAGCCTGCTGGAAGGCAAACCTGAAGGTACATTTTTGATCAGGGATTCCGCTCAGGAGGAGTTCCTTTTCAGCGTATCGTTCAGAAAGTACGGCAGATCGTTGCACGCTCGAATAGAACAGTGGAATCACAAGTTCAGCTTCGACTCGCATGATCCTGGGGTGTATACCTCGGACACCGTATGTGGCCTGATTGAACACTACAAGGTAAGATATTATCATTAATGCTTGAATCATCTTTATCCAAAGATGGATGCAAACTTGTTATCAGATGATTTTTTCTTTGAGACATTGTATTTGCTAGATCCAGTAATTAATGAAGAGAGACGTTTTAGGATTTTTGAGTTTGTAATCCAATATTTTCACATTTCGGAAATGTTTTTGTAATAATTGATATCTCATAAAGTGACAGTATTAGTTTTAACGAATGCATAAATGCAATAATCTCTACATTACTCTCAGTCGATTGTAGAATTAAGGTGTTACTTGCTTTTGGTCACAATTTTTTAAATCTTCATATGGTTAGCTGTAAGAGTAGCTTCAAGACAAATCTTGTCCTTTCTAGATAATGGTAATAAAAATGATTAATATTATTACCTTCGCGAAATTTTCAGATCGATAGGTCGCCCCTTGGGGCCCTTAACGTCAAAAACATGTTTTTACAGCAGACGCTCGATAATGTAAACTAATTTAATCCAAGTGTGGTTCACATTATCGAAATGTTTACATTAGCGAACGTGATTTATATAATATTTGATTTATTGAAAGAAACGTTTAATACATACTATTTATAACAAAATAAACAAATTTTCTAACAGCGATAAGTATTTTTTTATTTAGAAGAAAAATAATTAACAATTTTTGTCTGCGTAAATTTGCGCTTAGCATTGTCTTCCAATGCCTGCGCCCGTGATTTACGAAGAACTAAAATATCCGTGTATGAAACTTCTTTTCTTTCAGCCCAATCTAAAGCTTGGTTAAAAACTTGTATAGCTTGCGCGTCAGTCACTACACTTCTGACTTCAATGGGATCGTTCTCATCATCCTCACTGTCCATATCCTCCTCCTTATCAGCATGATTCGTCTGCTTAACTTCGTTCCATAAATTAATATCAGCAGGAGTACAAACAATGTTAGGATTCACTGTTTTCAATAAATCAACAACATCCAATGAGACACTAATAACATTATCATTATTGGATTGCAAACGTTCTCTAATTACGCTTAAGGGGACATCGTCTTCTTCATCATCTTCATTATTGATACAAAAGAGATTGTTCCAACATTTTTGAATAGTTTGCTGGTTAAGTTCATTCCAGACCATATGTAAATCTAAAACAGCTTCTCGTAATGTTACTTTTTTTAAAGCCTCAGATAAGTTTTCAGGATTCTTTGATAAGACAGACGAAAGTAGAAACTTCCTATAGTATAGTTTGGTGAGTCTTATTATATTCTGGTCCATCGGTTGAATTAACGGTGTTACGTTGGGCGGCATGTACATGACGAACATTGACCCATCCCTGCTCCTCAGTTGTTGCTCGGGAGGATGACTTGGTGCATTATCCAATAGTAACAACGCTTTTATTGGAAGCTTCTGTTGTTTTAGGAAACCTTTTACCTACAAATTGAAAACACATCTTCAAATTATGAATAGAGCATTTGTGATAATTGATTGTCATACCTGAGGGACAAAGCACCATTTCAGGAATATACTGCTAGTCATCCAAGCGGTTTTTGAACAGTCATAATCAACAGGGATATTAACATTTTTAAATGAGCGCGGATTTTTTGCTTTCCCAATTACCAGTGGCTTTATTTTGTGTGAACCATTAGCATTAGTGCAGGCTAGAAACGTTATTCGTTGTGTCTCCGGCTTTCTTCCCGGGGCAGATTTTTCAAATGATGGAGCATAGGTTTTCTCTGGTAACATTTTCCAATAAAGGCCACTTTCATCTACGTTGTAAATTTGTTCCATTCTTAAATCTAGCTCGGTAATTGTTTTCATCAATTTTTCTTTGAATGGTTGCACTAATTGTGGTTGTGCAGATAATTTTTCACCAGATATAGACAGCAGTCGAATTCCATATCTTGTTTTGAATCGTTGCAGCCAGCCATCACTAGCTACGAAATTTTCAGTTTCTTTCAGTTTTTCATTTAACAGTCTCGCTCTCTGTTTAAGTACTTCGCCACTAACTGGGACATGATTTTCCCGTTGTTTTAAAAACCACTTATACAGGGAATTTTCCATTTTAGGTGCCTTCGCATTTTTTTAAGTTTTTCTTTTTCCCGGACCTCCAAATGTATTGCACGTTCTTTGTAAAATTTGAGTTTTCATACGCTTAATTTTACAGATTGTTGCTTTCGATACTCCATATTTTTTTGCTAACTGTGTCACTCCCGCACCTAGTGCAACTTCGTCTATGATTTTCACTTTCTCACCCAACTTTAAACACTTTCTTTTATAGGATGTGGATGCCATAGCCGTAAAATCTATTAACGCGAGCAATGTATTCACTTAAGTTCAAAAATGAGATACATACGTACGTATAAACGTATCCTAAACGATCATACGACTGACCGAGTTTATCGTATTTTATCGCAGAGGTGAATCCCCTACACTCTACATCATAAATCGGGGACTCCCCGACGCCCGACATAAATCATCGAGGCTTCAGCATTTTACCGTCGCGCTGTTTCCGTGCGCCGAGAGTTGTTTACGTTATCGAGCGTACACATTGTTTACGTTATCGCGCGTTCCGTTTGATCCTATAGAACGAAGTTTGTGTTTACATTAGCGCAAGTTTTCATTATCCCGTGTTTACGTTATCGAGCGTCTGCTGTATTTGTTCAATATCGCCCAAACTGCTTTACGCTTCAGCTTCAAATTTTTGGCAATGTCGACTTGACGTTGACCATCTTTGTATAACTCAATGATCTTAGTTATCACATCGAAAGAAATTTCTGGACCACGCGGCATGATCTTAAGATCACTCATCTTATTCCACAATACTTGATGAACACAAACTAATCCTCTTCTGACACGAAACTACTAAACTAATGTTGAAAAGAATTTGTCTAAATATTTTTGTCCGTCATAAAAAAGTGCTTTTATTCAGACTTGTATTGTGTTCATTGCAGATAATGTAAAAACAAAGAATTTAGTTTTTCTACTAATAACGCATTTGTTTATGGAGCAATGAAGTATGAATTCGTTTTCTAAAGGTATTTAGGTAAATATTCATATTTGTCTATATACTTTTGTCCATTACTGTATATCTACAGGTTCCGCAAATGTATTAAAAATCACGGTTTTGTAAGGGATGACAGTATAGCACCCGTATTCTTTTCTTCAAAATTTCTTGATCAAAATTGTTTTCAGAAAAAAGGTTTTGAACCAATATGCCTTAATTTAGATTGAGCATTTCCATACGTAGTTTCGCCTATAGCCTCTAGTAAAGTTCATGCGAATTATTCTGACAAATAAACTGTGAAACTTTTTCCATTCCTGGATGTTTGTTTCTTTCCTTTCAGGACCCCAGCAGCTGTATGTTCTTCGAACCGATCCTAACGTGGCCCTTACACAGAAAATTCACGTTCTCCCTGCAGCACCTCTCACGTGCAGTGATCGTGAGCCGACTAACATACGACGACATAAACACCCTTCAACTGCCAAAATCGCTGAAAAATTACCTGAAAGAGTACCACTACAGACAGAAAGTTCGAGTGGAACGATTCGACGACGATGTGCAATGGCTGGAACTGTTTCCGAATTTGTACAACGGTTTGTCGAAACTTCCATAAGTTTTCGCATAGGTTTGAAGCTTTTTTAAAGGCGCTGTATTGAGTCGAAGAACTAGTATGAATGCTAACTCTTTAGAGTTTACCGGAAATGGTGTGGATATCTTTAGACGCAGGTCACTACACAGATGTGTACGAGGAGCAGTTTTTAACTAGGAACCGTTTTGTAATGGGGTCAGAAATTTACGAACGTTTCATTATAATCGGATTCAAGATGGCAGACGAGAATAGTTAATCTCATAAAGCCTCAGTTGTGCAATGTTTTTTTCTTGTAGCAATTGGGTTTACACACCAGTTACATTTAATTTTCATTGGCTTTATGTGGATGTAAGTCTTCGTAAGTAAAGAAAGAAGAAATACACTGGTCCTTATTTCAAATGAACACGTTTTTGTTTCTCGATTTTTTGGGGCGCTATTGTAATATATCTGCATGATTCAGACAACAAAAATCAAACTACAGGACTGCCATGATTACACGTCTTAAAAATACTACTCATAATAGTTTTACTGTTGTGAAATTATTTTTTTCTTGAATCATGTAAGGTATCCAATTTTTATTTTTGACTGCTTTCTATAATTTGGGAATGTTTTCATACCATTTGGACAAATTGAAAGTGTTGCATTGCCTGTGATATATTCACATTTTTTGCTTCGTTGAAAATTCTTTAAATAAATTTACAATTCCGACATTGTCTCGATAGAAATTTTTTTGTCGAAACGGTCACTGTACACGCATTTTTTTTAAATGAAAGGTGAAATTTACGTTTATTTTTAGTGGTAACGGTGGCGTAATTTGCATTGTTTTTGTAGCTTGAGAAAGGTTTTCATTAAAAGTTTTTTGTATTGCATTTGAGTTTAAGCATATTGTACTTATCATTACTCTCAAAATATTAAGACATTATATGAGTTAGGTACCACGAAATGTGATCAAAAAAGACATCTATTTTCATTCCTAGATCAATTTCGCCAAAGTATAAATGATTGGACAGGAGTGGCACTGTATTAGAAACAGTTATCAGTGTGGGCAAGATGGGGGTTCAAAATTAATTATTCAAATATTGACTGTGTGATGCAATTTTTGGGGTCTATATAAATCTAAAAAGAAGCGTATGCCAACATTCTTTTGTTGCTATGCTGCTGTAAAATTGTGATAAAGAAATAGGTATTCTTTCAGATATGTGGTGGAAGCATAAAAAAACTCGTTCGAAATTGATTCTAAATCCTGTCAATTCTGACAAAAGATTAAAATTATTCTTGAGGTTGATTTTTTAGATAAAGGTCCAATCTACTATTGCCTTCCATTGTTTGAAATGTGATGAATGACTGCCTAGTTCATCATTACGTTGATAGTGCCTAACGAAACGGAGAGTAATTCAACTATTTGGTGATTGTTAGTCTTTTTTGTGTGTAGTAGGTGCCAAATTATTGATTATTTTTAAGAGTGTTGAAATTTAATATGAATTTGTAAAAATGTATATATCCATATAATTTAGGTTTTGTAACAAATGTTTAAAAGTATTATATAGTTGTTATGATATTTATACATGTACTATTAAATAAAGTTTGTGTGTTATACTTTAATGTATTTTGTTTTGATTTCAACAATACGCAACAAAGATATAATCTGCACCGTATGATTTTGCTATGTAAATTATTTAGACATTTAGTTATAACGAATTCATAATAAAAATATTTAACAGTTCAAATATGTGTTTTATTTAAGTCAACAAAACTTTTCAGGAAGGTAACTATCATTATTTGTGGGAAAGTGAAACGGAAGAAAGACCAGTCACAAATAATATACAGCCTATTTTACGAGTATCCGTTACGGTAGAATGACAGTTGATTATCTAGTAACATCTCAAAAATCCCCAGAACGGCACAGGACACAAAATTCTGACGAATCCGTCAACGTCAGGTAGTCGGAGCCGTATTTTTGTTTTGTTTTTTTGTACGTACTTGCTAACTGCTCGTTTATTTACCAAAATCAAAACGCTACAAGTTTTACTAGATTTACACCTGATTCGTTCTGAGGTGTACAGCCAGTGTTGCCAACCCACACCGAGAGAAAAACCGTAAATCTACAGCATTCCGTTGACAGTATTTTTCACGGGTAAAAAACTCGGAACAAGGTCGAAAAGTGACAGTTTTGCATAGCTTAAGCGATTTTTTTTGTGCGGTCGTGGTTCTGGTTGGCCTTGAGTGACGTAAAAATGACAGAATTTACATACAAATTTCTCCAAATTCACTCAAGGCCAACCACAATCGCTCAAAAATAATTTGCTTTTTACATGCATGATCAGCTGTCATTTTTTGACGTTGTTCCGCGATAGATACTCGTGAAAAATAGTATATTGCTTAGAAACACTTCTGACTTAAATTGTATAAAGATCTGTTTACAGCGGCTCTGATTCTGGTTGACCTTGAGTGACATAAAAATGACAAAATTTTAATTGAAATCTGTCATCTTAAGGTCAACCAGAACCGTTGCAAAAAGAATTTGAATCAAACTTCGTAGTAAACAAAACAGATGGCGCGACCCTCTTGAACGAAAAACTGTAGATTTGAAGGCCCGAACTGAGATTTAGTTATAACGAATTCATAATAAAAATATATAACAGTTCAAATATGTGTTTTATTTAAGTCAACAAAACTTTTCAGTAAGATAAGTATCATTATTTGTGGGAACGAGATACGCGGAAGAAACGCCAGGCACAAATAATATACAGTCTATTTCACGAGTATCCATCATGGTAGAATGACAGTTGATTATCTACTAATATCTCAAAAATCCCCATATCGGCACAGGACACACAATTCTGACGGATCCGTCAACGTCACTTAGTCGATTCATTATTGCCAGCGTCGCAGATTAACCTAAAAATGTCACTTGCTGATTAGCTGTTCACCTGAGTAGATGTCAAAGCGTGATGGATACTCGTGAAATAGGGTATAGTAATGTCCTTTACGTCTTCTGAGGGGTACAGCCAGTGTTGCCAACCCCCACCGAGAAAAAAACGGTAAATCTACAGCATTCCGTTGACAGTATTTTTTACGACTAAAGAACTAGGAACAAGGTCGAAAAGTGACAGTTTTGCATAGCTTAAGCGATTTTTTTTGTGCGGTCGTGGTTCTGGTTGCCTTTGAGTGACGTAAAAATGACAGAATTTACATACAAATTTCTCCAAATTCACTCAAGGCCAACCAGAACCACAACCGCTCAAAAATAATTTGCTTTTTGCATGCATGATCAGCTGTCATTTTTTGACATTGTTCCGCGATATATTCTCGTGAAAAATAGTATATTGCTTAGAAACACTTCTGACTTAACTTGAATAAAGATCTTTTTGCAGCGGTTCTGATTCTGGTTGGCCTTGAGTGACACAAAAATGACAAAATATAATAAATAATACATACACACTCTATTTCACGAGTATCCATTACGGTAGAATGACAGTTGATTATCTAGTAATATCTCAAAAATCACCGGACGGCACAGGACACATAATTATCAAAAAGAATTTGCTTTTTGCCTGAATAATCAGCTGTCATTTTTGACATTGTTTCGAGATAGATATTCGTGAAAGATAGTATAAAGTATGGGGTTGTCCAAAACGGACTGCAATCGATGGATATTGACGTTGGTTGTGTGGCATGTTGCACCGTCTTGTTGGAAATAAACATCGTCCATATCCATTCCTTCAAGTTGCGGCAAAAAATAGTCCTCTATCATCACGTGATATCGCTCAGAATTGACTGGACCGGCGTCCCCGGCCGCATTTTCGAAAAAGTAAGGTCCGATGATGCCTTTTGACCACAATGCACACCACACAGTCACTTTTTGAGGATGCATCGGCTGCTCTTGATACTCACGGGAATTTTCGTTCGCCCAGATGCGGCACTTTTGCTTGTTTACCGTCCCATTCAAAGTGAAATGCGCTTCGTCGCTGAACATGATTTTTGATGAAAAATTGGCATCAATTTGGCGGTGTTCAAGGAGCCAATCTGAGAACGTTCGGCGCGAAAAATGGTCGGCCCGACGCAGCTCTTGCGTCAATTCGATCCTGTAGGCGTGTACATTCAAATCCTTGTGGAGAATGCGGAGCAAACTGGTTCTCGAAATGCCCAATTCTTGGGATCGACACGTTGTTGATTGTTTCGGATCGTCTCTCACACTCTCCTTCACAACAGCAATATTTTCCGGTGTACGAACGCTCCTTGGCCGGCCAGAGCCTGGCAGATTTGCCACAGAAGCTGTTGCCTCGAATTTACGCACCAGACGACCGATGGTTGTTTCGTTTGGGCGGTTGTTGCGACCGAAATGTTCACGAAGCGCGCGAAACGTGTTTTTTATTTTTGCACCATTTTTGTAGTGCTCTTGAATAACTTTAATGCGGTCTTCAATCGAATACGACTCCATAGCGATCAATGGTAAACATTCGACTAACAAAATGATATGTCGTTGACAGAAAACGATGGCGTCTATGTCAAATTGACGTTTCCTTTCCTGCGTCACTATTGGACAACCCTTTATATTGCTTATGAATAGCACACTTCTGACTTAACTTAAAGATCTGATCCTGGTCGAGTTTGAGTGACATGAAAATGACAAAATTTGAATTGAGGAACGTGGAGATTTTAAGAAAATAATAAATACAATCAGGGTACATCGAAATACTATTTAATTCATAAAAGAAAATAACAAAGAACAAATTGTTGAGCAAATTAAAATCATTAACTAGCAAATATATGAGTATACAGATCTTCTTGTTTGATTACACTCTCATCAGAAAGGGAACTTAGACCATCCACTTTATGTTGCTCACTACCCTGTGCCAGCACAGTAAATCTTTCTGAGCTAAAAACAACAAAAATATTAATTAAAAAAAAATCAATTTTATCGTGCGTGTGTGCTTTCAAAATTCAGAATATAGTTGAAATTAATTATCAAATGGTGATGGTTATGGATCTATGGCACTTAAACCATGACATCATCTTTACCTAGCTATTTCCTTCACATGTGGCAACATTGTATATCTGCTGATTTCAGGCGAAAACCTATATGGTGTTATTCCATTTGTAATTAGGCGCCTAGAAGAAAGCCTCTGTTCAGCTCAAAAAACTACACAAGGATTACCTTGCATGCAAACCTGTAAAAATCATCATCTTCTGCACCCCAACCATAGAACTTGTTAGACATGCCATTGACTTGTTTAAATTGAGATGAAAGGATCGCCACAGCTCCGCCGAAAAGTGTTAGGTATGGCAAATTGTATCTAAAAGATAAGGAATTATTAAGTACCACTCATATGAAAAAGTATGTAGATTTCAATATATAAGATGGGGAAAATAGTAAGCCTTACCTAAAGGTATCTAAGCTACTTGACATATGCCTAGGCGTTTTTGAACAGCCATAGATATTTCCTGTGTTGATAGGTATCAAATCAACATCATGTAGAATCAGACACGGATATCCCATCTCTATTGCGATTTTTGCTCCATAGTTTAACATTTTTGCTCTATTAAATGGAAGCGTGTCATTTTGATCCACTATAAATATTTGATAATGAATTCTTTGGTTCTGTAGGAAGTGGTGCATATAATTGAGGAATACCTTCAAGTGAGTTGCCCTGTTCCTATAGGGAACTATGAGGGCTGTCTTTATTAGAGGTGTACAGTTTTTAGGCTTATATTCACCACCTACAATTTTGAAAGACAGAAAACTTGAAATGCAAACAGCAAAAAGTATCTCACCTTTCAATGGTATTTCAAAGTATCTCGTGCCATAAATTGAGCTAATATCTACATCAACATTTTTCACAATAATATCTTCATAGGAACAATTTTTCAACTTGCTTTGTACAGGAGCAGCCCATAGAATTTCATCCAAGACATTTTCAACCCTAATATAACTGTAGTGTCTTGCATGCCTGCCTGGGAAATATACAAGTATCATAAGTATTGCTAATCCCACCGCCAGTATAACATTTATAAGCATTTTCTTTGGTAGTCATTGCATTTTTTGCATATTTTTATTTTGAGCACTCCGTACATCAACTTAACCTAAAAGCTCAAAACACATAAGACTAAAGCCTAGGGATGGCAACGATATATCGCTTATTTTTATATATCGATATTTTTTAAAAATATATCGATATATTATAATCGATATATTTGTTTCAATATATCGATATTTTCATTAAATATATGTTTTTTTTTCATGTTCCTTTATCTTATCAGTACTTCCATGATATGTCAATGATTCAAATCAAATAGGCTCGATTTGTTGTTTGAACGTGCTTTATGCACTTCGAGCGATGATCACACACCCCATCGTGTTACGCGGTACGCCAAATGCGGCAGTGATGTGTCATTTTCAATAAGGATTTTTTCGCGAGTCCACGGTGTAGCACAGTGCACTACCGGGAACCGATACTCAAATTTTCGCGAAGAACGGGAATAGGGGAAGACGGTTGTGACGTCGTCCGAACGTCAAAAAATCACGTGGTACGGGTACCCGCCTAACGTCTGTGAGGATCAGTAGTAGCTCCAGTTTTCTTCTTTTCATGCACCACCCTGCGAATGGTTCACTCTGGAACGCCTGTCATACTTTCACAACGCGCGAGTGCATCTCCCTGCGACATAGTTCTGTTCAGATAATTGAACACGTTGAGCACGATTTCTTTCGCGTCCCTCTTCAGTGCTTTACGAAGCCGTCTACTTGTTCCCTGGCTTTCAGTACTTCCACTCGTGCCATTTGTTAAGTATAACCAAAACAGTAACCACAGAAACCACAACAATAACAATCACACAACAATTCTTATAAAAACATACAATATGCGATCGCTCAACAAAACACGTTCCATTGCGTTGCCGACGCCTATGAGTCTGCCGGTCGAGGCGCGTCTTTGATTTCATTGGTTCTACCGGCGGAGAACAATCAGCCATTATTTCCATCTCTGTCTGTGCTGTTGACCACCGCAAAGCCACAGAAACGACATATGTCGTACGCTATACGGCTGTACTGGAAGGAAGCCGGGATCGAGCTCTGATCACGTGTTGATCACGCGTATGAGTCATTACAGTTTTAAATAGTTGTAATATAGCAGGTGACAGGTTTTATGTCAATTTCATTTAAAAAACAGGCATCTCAATTGAAAATTTGTCTTCGCAGTGCCGAAAATTGAGTTAAATTATTAAATCATAAATGGAGGAACACGTCCACCTGATTTTAAATGACGAGGGAGAAGATCATCGAAGATATATGAACCGCACTTGTCATATCAAATGATTGATTTTATTGATATATATGTACATTGCACATAAAACGATCGGTCTTTTTATTTCAGATTCAAACAATTCTGATAAGTTTGCTTAAAGCAAACATTTTGGGCAACTTGCTCCATCTAACCACTCCCGGTGTAACTTGAAACTGTCAAAACTTCGAGAGGAAGGGGAAATTCCATCTGTTCCCGCACCGGGTCACTACGGGATCTCGCAAAAAAAATCTCTATTACTGTTTTTTTCTTTGTTTCTTTTTCTAAACTCCAACATTCTAACACAAGGTCGATTGGGAATAATATTGTGGGATTGGATTGGAATTGGACTGATTTGTGCGTATTTCTTGTTCTGGGGGGTGTTCTGTTCTTTGTTTGATAGTTTGAATCAATGACATTTAATAATGCCTTTTTTGCATTTATAAATGCATTTTTAGCATTCAAAAATGCTTTTTGTTGAATATGAAAAGTAGGGAAATACTTATATTTTTAGCCTTTTCCGTGTTTTCAATGTCAAATAAAATTCAATGAACACATCGTATATAGTATATAACATAACATATTAACTTAAAAAAATTATCGATATATTCAAAAATATCGAAATTTTTTATCCGATATATCGGATATATCGATACATTGTTTGGATATATCTAATGATTTGCCATCCCTACTAAAGACACATATGTTTGACAGTGACAGTTCTGAGAAATTGCACGTCTCCTTCAATCCACAGCGTCGCCAACATACACGATAATCGAAAACTGCAGTGCTGCCAACAGTTGCCTTTTCATGTTAATTTTTCCATATTTGCACTTACAGCAACCTATTTCCTAGTCTTAATCACTCGTACACTTAGTCAAGCATATTGCTAAACACGACAATCGATTGTTTGGACGAGAAAAACACTAATTTTATAATGTTAATGACGTGTCGTTTGGCATAGGGGAAAACGGACAACTATTTCTAGTGATTTTGACGTGGAAGTAACTAGGGCATGCGCACTGTAACCTTACGTGGCATACGAAGGGTTGAAAGTGAAGTGATGTCCAATATTTATTGTTTTTCATAAATTCTTCATGCGAAAATAACATTGTAAGTGCTGGATCAAGTGCTTTAAGTGTTGCTTAAACCTCGTGTTCACAGCAGCGAAAAAAACTGCGCCAACAAACGTGAAATTTAATTAAATATGTCTACAGTTTGTAAAAGTATTTTATCTTTTTTGTTTCCTTATTTTTGTACTTCTAAATTAATTGTTAATACGAGGTATTTGGCATTTTATGCAAAGCTTCCTTGCTTCACTAAATCAGGCACGTATACCTTTTAAATAACCTGGAAATATGTTTTAAAGGACTAGTTACAATGAACCCCCAGTACCTCCCACCCCAGCAGTTTGGTGGGCCCCAAGTGTATCCAAGCAGTCGTTCATCACCTGGAACTTTGCCTCAATCTGGACAAAACTTCCAGAATATTCCTCTAGGCCCTAGCAAACCTGGATTACCACCTATGTCTGTTGGTGGGCCTCCTCCCACAAGCAATGCAGGTATTTAACTTTATATTTGGTTAATTTGTCTTTACTTTTAAGCAAATATTTGATTGCTATTTGTGATTTAGTATCATATTTACACAAACACTAGGATAAATATATCATAAAATTGTTATACTGTTATGTCACTGGAAAAGTGTGTATGTTTATCTGTTAAACAGAAATAGATTTTTATGGTAAGTTATATGCCTTCAACTCTTCAACATGTTATTTGAAATTGTTACAAGATGTATCATGCTGTATTACTAATCATGCTCGTATACCTGAAAGATGATCAAATTGTAAACAAGTTAAAGACTTGATAACTTTGATGATAAACTTCATTGAATATCACAAAAATTAAAACTGGTGTATCTAATAGAGCAAGCTTGTTTAAAGAATAGGCCATTTTCAAACATGTGACTTTGACAGGTCCCCTTCTATTGGTTGGTAGACAAGCACATACAGATTGCAATGTAAATTAGCTCCACTATTTGTGTTTGATCTCTTGAATCTTTGGTATAAATAGTCTGGAAAATGTTGGTAATTCAGTGGTTCATAAAGACCTATTGACAATTCACCACCATATGAAGAAAGTCATTTCAATTTTTTTTTTACAAATAACTATTTCTAAGATTCCCAACTATTAGACCAAGGACATAAACGATGTAAGGAAAAATTGTGGTACATCTGTTTGTGCAACGATCTATAGAATATGAAAATTGAAAACTAGATATGCTTTATATCTGTCTATATCTCACATTTCTTTAGGTCAATTTCCTCCACCAAGATCTATACCATCAGGTCAGCTGCCTCCCTCTCAAGACCCCACCTCCTTCAACAGCGAAAATGCATCACTGAATTTCACAAACGGTGCTCAGCAGTTTCAGAATGGTTTTCCTGCTGTGAGCCAAGCCAGCAGACCACCATTGATGCCTGGTAATTTACAAAGGCCCCCATCAAATCAACCTCCAGTATCGCATTCTGAGTCAATGCCACCTCAGAACCAGCTCGGACCACTTCTGACATCTCAAGGTAAAAATTTTCATATTTTGTGATTTTAAAAAATGATTTATTCTTGCTAATCAAAGTGATGTTTCAGGTCCAACGGGAATGCCTCCACAAAACTCCCAACTGAGAGACTCATCGCCCCATTCAGTGCAAAATCAACAACATCCAAATGTATCAACTCCATCTGGGGTACCTCAACACCATGCTCCTCCCACAAGTCAGTCTCAAGGTCCTCCATCTATGGACAAAACCCAATCCCCACAAGGTCAAAACAGACCACCTAGTGCAGGCCTTCCTGCGGGACAGATTCAAGGTCCACCTGTGGGTCAACCTCCATATGGGAATCAAAGTAAACCTGGGGATCCACCACAGTTAGGTCAAAATGCAAAAGGTCCAACTCAGCAACCATTTGGTGGCCCACCTGTGAACCAGAATGAACCTAGCTTGACTGGTCCTCCCACGGGTCAAAATCATCCCACTAATGGTCCACCCACCAGCCAGAATCAGCCATTTGGTGTTTATAATCAAAACCAGAACCAACCAATGCAACAAGCACCAATGGGACCAAATCAACCTCCTATGGGACAAAATATTCCACCTATGGGTCAGAATTTGCCACCTATGGGGCAAAATCAGCCTCCTATGAATCAGTTTTCTCCACCAGGTCCTCTGAATGCTATGAGTGGATCTATGCAAGGTAGTATGGTAGGAGCACCAAAACCATTCCAGCCACCTGTGCCAGGACCTCCTATGCCAGGACAACTTATACAAGGACCAGGGTCTATGCCTCCAATGCCAGGGCAACAAATGCAAGCACCAGGATCTATGCCAGGGCAATCTATGCAAGGACCAGGATCTATGCCTCCAATGCCAGGGCAACAAATGCAAGGACCAGGATCTATGCCAGGGCAATCTATGCAAGGACCGGGATCTATGCCTCCAATGCCAGGGCAACATATGCAAGGACCAGGATCTGTGCCAGGTCAAGGACACATGCCACCTATGCAAGGACAACCACCTATGCCAGGTCAGCCATCAATGCCTGGTCAAAGTCAGTATGGACAAGGTTCGGTGCAGAGAGGACAGCAGATGCGACCTCCTATGCCAGGTAATTCTTAGTTTTTGCCACCTGCTTCACCAAACCACATATTGACAGGCAAACAGTGGTGAATCAATATTTCCATTTACACTGATTAATTCTTATGATGAAGTGTGTCTCAATAGGTACTTTGTGATTTTGTTTTGGAATTTTTGTGGAAAAACATTGCTAGAAATTACGAGGCCATCAGTCGTACGACGCGTGGCCGCGTCTCTCGTTGTGCGTGCGTTTTTGGCTCGACGCTCAATCACCCGTCTTATTCACCCGATTTAGTCCCTTGCGACTTCTTCCTGTTCGCAAAATGCAAAATGGTGCTTCGGGAGCGGCATTTGGGGGAAGTGGAAGCCAAGCAGAAACGACACGGCAAATGAAGAGTCTCACAATTGAAGACTTTCAGCGATCGCATCAACAGTGGAAATGGGGTTGGCAGAAGTGCATCTTGTCTCAGGGGGAGTACTTGGTCTCCCATATTGAAATACCTGAACGATTGTAAAATAAATGATAAACTTTTCCGCACAGACGTAGTATTGTTACCCAATAAGAAATCGATTGCTGAGTTTAAGGCTAGTATATTTGCATAGAACCAGCCTTCAACGTGCTCACGTGGGAGAGCAGCGATCTTAGACTAGCTTAAAATACGGGGCATCCAGAGGGGAAGTTCACATTTTAAATTTGAATTTCGTGGCAACCGTATACGCGAGGAAGTGGGGCGAGGTCTTGATCGACGTGTTCGGCGAGCGGGTTAAATAGTCACAATGGAACGTTGGACCGGAGCGCAACGTGCTTTTGCTATCGAGGCTTACTTTAAGCGTGGTGATTCATACGCAGCTGGCCTTCGGTAATTTTCTACACGATTCAACATTCGCCGACCAAGAGATGCCCCTAGTAAGAACCTATTGAAAAAGTGTTTAAAGGAAATTTATTACGTATTACGGAAATCTTGTGCTGAACGGATGTTGAATCTTTTTCCTACGCAGCGCAGACTCGAGAACTTTGTTTTCAGTGACGAGGCCCGTTTTCAATTAGACGGTTATGTGAATAAGCAAAATTGCAGATATTGGGCGCCAGCTAACCCAAAAGAGAAACGTCAACAACAGCTACATAGTCCAAATGTGACTGTTTGGCGCGCCATATCCTCAAGCCATATCATTGGGCCGTATTTCTTTGATGATGAAAACGGTAATGCATTGACAGTCAATTCCGAGCGAAACGAGGACATGATTGACACTTTTTTGCTCCTATTGTATTGTATTGTATGTGCGAGGATGGCAAACATTTGGACGGAATGATATTTAAGAAATAAATACCGTCGAATTTACGAATATGTTCATAGTAATAAATATTTTCTTTTCATTAAGTTTGTATTTTTTTTGTGAACTTTTCCACTGGATAACCCTGTATTAGTAGGGAATAAATTCCCAGGTCTCTAGATGACACATGCGCGATTTAAAATTTCTCGGTCAAATCATTGGAAAATCTGAAGTACCTTTGGAATACTTGAGTGGTAAACATCGTATACGATACAGTTGATTGCACGTCTTTCAGGGCAATATAATCCTTCGCAAATCACAAATCAAATGCAAGGGATGTCCTTGGGAGGTCAACAAAGATATCCTGGAATGCAAGCCACGAAGCCGCCGATCAATGGAGAAATGGGGCCACCACACATGCCACCTGCAGGTTAGTCGAGCTCTTTTTTGTCAAAAATTCACTATTTTTAATTCTATTGAAGGTATCTGACTGACATTTACTTGTATCTCTACTACTTTAATTCGCGTTTTCGCTTTCGGCGACTTATTTTTAACGTTTTTTCCAGGTGCGCAATCCAGAGGACCGCCACCAGGACCCGGATATCCGCCTATGCCTGGACAAGGCCCCATGGGCGGTCAACAAGGTCCACCTGGCCCGATGGGTGGACCACAGGGACCCATGGGCGGGTATCCACCTCAACAGGGCGGTTACATGCAACAGCAGCAGCAGCAACAGCAAGCGAGGAGATTGGACCCTGATCAAATGCCTAGCCCTGTAAGTATAAATCTCCTCTTATAAACCACCGAACTGATTTTGATGGAATTCGGAAGGTGGGAGTCTGGATTCCATATTTTTGACAATACGACCATAATTCAGAAGAAACCCTCTTTTTAGATACAAGTTACGCAGGATGATCAACAAACTAGATCCGGTGTCTTTGTTACAAATCAAACTGGTCTTGTACCGCCACTGGTCACAACAAACTTTGTGGTGCAAGATCAAGGGAACGCTAGCCCGCGATTCATTAGGTCCACCATGTATAATATTCCCATCAATCAGGTAAGATCTGCTCATTTTTGTAGAATAAGCACTTTATTAAACAATTTTCAGTTAAGGCAAAGCAACTACTTAGGGCTGTGCATTTCCGACCTTGTAACATAAAAAAATCTTTCCTTGAGCAATTGGTCTACTAGTTAGTGCAATTTATGTTTTGTGTATCAATTCATTATTCAAATTTATTACGGTTCAGTTTGTTGGTATATGATTCTTTGCAGGATATTATCAAACAAACAGCTGTACCGTTCAGTTTGGTGATCAGCCCTATGGCGAGAACAATTGAGGACGAGTATCCTCCGCCGATAGTGAACTTTGGTGAACTGGGGCCTGTGAGGTGCGTCAGATGCAAGGCTTACATGTGCCCCTATATGCAGTTTATTGATTCCGGGAGGAGATTCCAGTGCCTTTTCTGCAAAGCCACAACTGATCGTAAGCCACAACTCTCTCTCTTCCTTCCATTTATTTGTTATCTTTGTCAGGAATCATCAGAATCATCGTTGTGTAATGTATTTTCCAAGATATCCAGCTGAATGCGGTATTTAAATATTTGCATGCAATTTTCTTCACTACCAATTAGGATCTCTTGGAAATTAATATAGACATTCTTATTACTAAACACTGTTTAGTATCAACGAATAAAGCCCGAAAGGGGCCGAGAATATTGAAAAATACCTCCACCCCTATAGAATTTATGGCGGAATTTAGTCCCGACTCTGAATTTTTTTGTATTCAAAAGATCCTTGTGCTTGCTCAATTTTTGTCTCGTATAAAAGCAGGCCATTTCGCACAATTTTCGAGGAAAAAAAAATGTTTTTCGGAGTTGGTTTTTTAAGAATTTTTTGTATTAAGATTGTATTCTCATTCTCATGTGCAGGAACGAAAATGGCGGTCACATTGACCCGCTTTTATGAAAGCCTCGTACTATAGCCTTTATTAAATGAAATTCTAATAATATATATAACAAAAGAAATAGGAAAATAATGGGCAAAATCCCGAAAAAGAAGGAAGGTGGATTGGAGCAGAAAATAGGATAGGTAACCCGAGCGATACATATTTCTGCTGGTTGGCTTCATCAGGCTCGAAAGCCAACACGATTGGCGCATCGGAAACGAAACAGATGCATTTACTGGCAGCTTAGTTTTTTTTTTTTTGGAGAAACGCTCAGACCCGTCGATTTTGTTTTCGAGGGGGACACAACTTTGGCAAAAAATCACGTTAACACGTGCAGCCCCCTGGGCGGATGTGACACCAACCCTAAAATCTTAAATGGAAAGGGGGGTCGAGTGATACCTTATTTTAAAGGTCTTTTAATTCCCTTTATAATGATGTACAATGAATGAGCTTCAGTTCAGTAGTTTTGAAGATTTATCGATTTAAAGCTTAAAGTAGACTTAAATAGGCACATCAGATTAGTTTGTACTACTTTCAGAAGAAATTTGACTAAAAGAGTTTACTTAATAAGTAAATGCTTTTCTTCACTACGCCCATGGTTTGTTTATCATTTTGTTGTTGAAAATAGCTATTTTAGCGTTTTTTTGTGGCAAAAAAATTATTTCTTGAAGAAAGATAAGGAAATATCTCGTACTTATTTTAAATAGGAATTTAGTACATAGTTTGCGATGGATTTGAAGAAACTTTGTTGCTAAAATAACTTGTAACGCTTTATTACATAAATTAACCATGGTATATTCCACACCAGAAAGAGTTGAAATTATCGAAATATTTTTCGGAAATAATCAGTGCGCTAATAGAACAGCAGAAATATTTAATGAGCGACATGAGAACAGTAACGTGCATCGAAAACATGTTCTAGAACTTGTAGCTAAATTTCGGGGAACTGGGTCAGTCGCCAATAAAAAACGCAACATTGAAAAACCCATAAGGAACGAAGCAATAGAAGTGGGGGTTTTAGGGCAAGTTTATGTAGATCCTACGTTAAGTACCCTCAAATTGGAGACTGTGTGTGGTGTTAGTCGACGAATTATAAACGATGAACATTTTCTATTCAACACTTGCCTTTCCGACAATGTTCCCTTTCTTAAATGGCGTAGTAAATCGTCATAACTGCCGATATTGCTCCGATTCTAATCCCAGAATTTATCATGTGGTTCATACACACCAGCCACAAAAATTAAATGTTGGGGCTGGTATTTGTGGCGATCATTGATCCTTTTTTATTACCTGGATATTTGACCGGTGAAATGTATTTGGAATTACTGGAAGACGCCATAGATCCTGCATTAACAGCCATAATTGAAAATCAGAATGATCGGCGGTACATTGCGAATAGGTTGATGTTCCAACAGGATGGTGCCCCACCACATTACGCATTACGTGTTCGACAATATTTAGACCAGATTGATGGATTGGTAGAAGAGGTGCCATCGAATGGCCCCCAAGATCGCCAGATTTATCACCTTTGGATTTCTTTATGTGGGGTCATTTAAAAAGCAAAATCTATGCTACTCAGCCAACATCATTAGAAGACCTGCGACAAAGAATTGTGAATGAGTGCCTTCAAATTACTCCTCAAATATTGCAAAATGTGCGGCAACGTTTTGACCAAGATCTTTATTATTATTATTATTGAAAACAAAATCGACGGGTCTGAGCGTTTTTCAAAAAAAAAACAGCTGCCAGTTAATGCGTCTGTTTCGTTTTCGATGCGCCACCCTGTACATATAAATAAACAAAACCTCTTGATTGAACTCATTTTTTTCTCGAAAACTATCCGAGATGGCCTGACAGAAAATGATCTTTGTTTCAGTCCCTACAGAGTATTTCCAACACTTAGACCACACCGGCCAGCGTATTGACCGTTTCGAAAGGCCCGAATTGATTCTGGGCGCTTACGAATTCGTGGCAACTGCCGATTACTGCCGAAACAACGTTTTGCCTAAACCCCCGGCCGTCATTTTTATCATTGACGTGTCATACAACAGCGTCAAGTCGGGATTGGTGCATCTGTTGTGTTCCCAGATGAAGGAGATCATTCAGAATCTGCCTGTCGACCAGGGGCACGAGAAAAGCAATATGAAAGTGGGATTCATCACGTACAATAGCTCCGTGCATTTCTATAATATCAAGGTAAGATTCGCGCAGATGAGTTATTTTTTGTTGTAACACTAACAGCCTAATCTGGAGCAGGCTGCGGTATGCTTCCTGTCTAACTCAACATCAATCTTCCAGAATACAAAGAGGGTGTATTAGGCCGAAATTTAGCCAATGGATACTCTTACATTCAACCCTGAACTTCCTCTCTCTTATTGTTTTTGTTAGACTATTTCTTTTGTACGTTGACTGTACTTCCTATGCATGTCCATTCCGGCTCGTACTTCTGTACAATTTTCGGTGATGCTTTTATTATTCTTGGAACCTTTTTGCGAAACATTTTACTATGTACAGCTCTATAAATTTTTTTTGATCAAGCTTTTTATCCATGAACTGTTTTAGGGCACTTTAGCGGCGCCTCAAATGTTGGTGGTCGGGGACGTGCAGGAAATGTTCATGCCGCTTTTGGACGGATTTTTGAGTACTCCCGAAGAATCAGAGGCTATAATCGACGCTTTGATGGAGCAGATTCCGAGCATGTTCGCGGATACAAGGGAAACTGAGACAGTATTGCTACCTGCCATTCAAGCTGGCTTGGAGGCCCTGAAGGTTAGTACCAGTTTAGGAAGGATTTGTCTTAGCTCTACCCATTTTTAGATTGTAATAGATTACTTTTTGTCATACCTTGGGTAAACTTTCTCAAGTAATAATGTTCATCATTATTGATAATCTTTTACCAACGTCATAATGTGATGATAATCTGTATATTCAATTTTTAAAATACCTCATACCTCTAGGCGCGGGAATTTATCCAGCACTTGTGGGATATCATCTTTGTTTCTGAATTTTTCACTTTACAGAAAATCTTTTAACGGTAAATAATAGGCTGCAGATCACCATAACCTTCTTTGGATGCAGTCACCTATTGTCATAGAGATTCCACTTTTCATTACATGTCACAATCCGGTCGAGAAACTGGTCGTTTTTGTTGCGTAGCAGACGCCACCTCAAAACGACGATTTGTATTTCCTCAATTTGTGCGGTATCCATTTATCGAGCGTTTTTTACTTTCCGATCCGTTTCAAGTGGTCGGAAATCGTCGCAATATCACCATCAAGGTCACCGCAAGGTCACGAACAGTTGTGCACGGATTTGCTTCCACCAGGGCCTTTAATTCGTCGTCGACGACATCATGTGGCCTGCCACTGCGCTTAATGGTTCTTTAGCCATCCTATATTTGAAGTCCTGACAAAAAAAAAACGAATACAACTTATAGATAGAGCGAAAAACGCGCTTTAAGATGATGTATAAAGTCAAAGTATACTAAGTGACATATAAATCCGAACACCCAGTTTAAATGGTTTTATTTTAATAAAATTTTGTATAAGTACTTAATGAAGCATAATAAGTGAATGATAAAAATTTCAAAATGATTGCACTGCTTTAAAGCCCTTTGACCTTTAATAATGTGTGGATGCACCCTGATGTGCTACGCATTCTCCAACGCGCCTAGGCATGCTTCTGATGAGGTGGTCAATGTCCTCCTGTGGTATCTCATTCCATGCAACCACCAACTCCTCTCGAAGTGCTTCTAGAGTCTGAGGAGGACGTTGCAAATTGAGCAATCTCCTACCCATCATATCCCACACGTGCTCAATTGGGGATAAGTCGGGAGATCTTGGTGGCCATGGTAACAATGTGACATTATTATGTTGAAAGAAGTCTATTGTGACTCTTGCAACATGTGGTCGGGCATTATCTTGTTGGAAAGTTGGATCTGATAGGGTGTAAAGATAGGGTAAAAGATTCGTGGATATAACGCTGCGCGTTCATGTTACCTCTGATGAAGATTAAAGGTGACCTGGAACCATAAGCTATAGCACCCCAAACCATAACTCCAACAGTGTGATGAACATGTCTTTCAACAAAAAACTGTGGATTCCTCCTTTCACCACGTCGCCTTCTAACCCTGGCACGACCATCGTGCATGCCTAAACAAAATCGAGACTCGTCACTAAAGACAATACTGTTCCATTCCTGATCCCAGAGTGACCGTTGTCTGCACCACTCAAGGCGGTTACGTCGGTGTTCTCGAGTTAAAGGGAGGACCCAGTGTGGCCGGTATGAAAACAAGCCAAAACTTCTCATTCGTCGGTAAACACTTCGCATGCCAATAGGCCTTCCGTGTTCTGCAAACCATTCATTTGCAATGGACCTGGTAGTGGAGAAACGGTCCCTTAAGGCCAATAATCTTAGGCGGCGATCTTCACGGTCTGTTGTTCTACGGCGGCGTCCAGTGCCCCTTGCTCTTTGCGTACGGCCTTCTCGAAGCCATGCCTGACAACACCTAACCACAGTGCCTACACTTCTTTGCACTCTAACTGCAATTGCCCGAAAAGAAAGTACAGCTTCCCGAAGTCCCACTATACGGCCCCTATCAAACTCACTAAGTTGACGAAATCGTACAGGTCTCCGTACTCTAGGCATCGTAACCGATCGTAAAGGATGTCAAGAACCAAAATCCGTTGATTCTTTACTGCGGCTGAAATATTCATTTTTAGAGCGTTAGTGAATAAAAAAAAAGCAGTATAAAAACCGGAATGTCCAACTGATAAACAGTAAGATAAATACATTCACCAACTTTTATTAAAATAAAACCATTTAAACTGGGTGTTCGGATTTATATGTCACTTAATATATAAATAACAAAAACCACAAGAACTTTCCGAACAACATAAATTTTTGATGTAAATTTTTTTGTTACTGAAAATGTTCGTATTTATTGTCAATTGCTGATATTTCTGCTACATTATTTTTTAAATATGTCTGTACTTAAAAAAAAATGAATGAGCTATGAGGGAACTATTAATGGGCTTGACTGGTTTATGCAAAGTTTTTTGATTTTTTAAAGGATAAAATTAAAATAAAACAAACTTTGACCCTGAAAATGTTATTTTTGTCAAGTTCCTGAATGAAATAAACTAAATCATGGTTTAATTCAACTTTTGATGCCCGCTTAAAATATTTTCATTTATTCATTTTCACTGAATTTCTGATGTGGATTTGGCCGGTTTATGGAAAGTGTAAAAACTAAAGCAACCAATTATACACTTCAGTTCCCGCAATTTAAATGTTACAGAATTTAAAATTGTGAAAGAATATAAACCCAACTGATTTTGAACGAAAATGCCTCTCCGAATTCAGCTTTTCATTTGGTTAAAGCGTTAAAGTTTTTGAAAAATATTTTTTCCATAAATTTGAATGCTTTTTGTGAGGAAAATGTGTAAAAAAAGCCGTTCTCCGTTAGAAGCAGTAAACGTGATCCTGAAGTTTTACGAAACTGATGGTTCAAAAAAAAACTCTAGGTAGATCAAAGTGAGATTTTACAGTGTCATTGTGGGTAGTTGGAGCTTGAAAAGTTATAGTCAGCATCAGCCGTCTTTTCAATATTTGCAATTTAGCACTCGGTTTTCCAAAATATATAAATTATTCTTTGTTTGTTTTTCTTTAGCACATATGAATTATGAAAAAAAGTTTTTTCATAAATGATCATTGATCCTCAAACGGAATCCATTCCAGGTTCTGAAACCACCCTTAGATTTTCTGTAAGGTGATTCGTTCCTGAGATATCAGCAATCGAACGCAAAAGAGATATTTTTCATTAACAATCCGATATCACAGGAAGACGTGGTTGTATCCAAACTTTGATAAACTCAAATTGAATTTGAATAAACGGGCTATTGAGCCCATATTTCGGTTTATCGGAAAACCATTCCTAAGTCCGTGGACCCAAATAAAAAATGTTTTTTTTCTCAACTCTGTTTCCTGGGATTGCTTGGGACATGCAACTCCAGAAAATATTTGACTTAGATATCCAGGTTTTAATGAAAGCAAATAGAATTTCAATAAACAGGCTATTGAGCCCATATTTTGGTTCATCGGAAACCATTTTTCCAAGTCCATGGATTACGTGGAAGATGCAGCTGCAGAAAATCTTTGACTTAAACATCCAAAAGATAGACATTTGAAGCTTGAAAATGCTTCTCTTCAAACCCCAATACGAGCATTCTTTGCGGAGATGCACTACTTCAAAAAATCATTAAAAAATTACAAATTTTGATCCGGTCCATAGTATACAATAATTTATGCCTTTTTTCAGGCTTCCGAGTGTGCAGGCAAACTCCTAGTATTCCACACGACCTTGCCGACGGCGGAAGCGCCTGGCAAACTGAAAAACAGAGACGACAGAAAACTGCTCGGCACTGACAAAGAGAAGACGATCCTGACACCTCAAACGCAAGCTTACAACCAATTGGGCCAAGATTGCGTGGCCGCAGGCTGTTCAGTTGATCTGTTTGTCGTAAATAATTCGTATATTGACGTCGCTACGGTCGGGCAGGTGTCGAGATTGACCGGAGGGGAGGTCTTCAAATACACATATTTCCAGGTAAAGAAAAATTACTTGAGTTTGATTTTATGGGGAGGCGAACTGGGCTGCAGTTTATATCTGGTTATTATCTAGTACTCGACCTATGTATCTACAATTTTCCAGGCAGATATTGAGTACTAACTGTAGTATCTGTGTTTGTTGAAGATTTATTTAGCATTAATGCTACGGTGTCAACTTTGTATAGTTTCTTTTTTAATCAATTTTCTGAAATTTTACATTGCATTTTGGGTATTCATAAAGTGATATTTTAGTTTCGCCTTAAGCATTTTCAAATTTGAACACTATTTAATATTACAGAGTGGCGTTTTGTCTAACTAATTGCTTGTTCTGCGGTGGGACTCGGGAAGTGTGGGGCGGTGTCATTGTAGGTCCCCTGTTGAGGCAATGATTTGGACAGGGCAGCACCGCGGCTTCGCTTTGCGTAAGGTTTTTGAAAATGGCCGCTCCATCATCACCACGCGTACATTTCAACATCCCGTAATGTTACGGTTCCTAGCGGTAAGACAATTCGACGTTGGGTCCGTACATGGACGAAACTGGATCCGCTACAAGACCCAAGGCATCTGGAAGACCCGAATCTGTCACAACACCCGAAAATCTGATGGCTGTGAGAGCAGCAGTTGAATGACACCAAGGCGATCTGCTCGGAGGCATGCGATTGCTTTGGATATGTCTGCTCGCTCTTTAAGGAAAATTCTGCATGAAGAACTGTCATTCCATCCATATAAAATCGTGGTTGTTCAAGAACTGATGCCTGATGATCACATCAACCGTGTAAATCGTTGTCAAGAAATGCTTGAACGAATCCCCGAAACATCAACTTTTTCCAGCAGCGACGAGGCGAAAGATCGCCTCTCTGGGGCTGTCGATAAGCAGAATTTTCGGTACTGGGCTGACAGTAACCGAGGGCAACTTCACTCACCTGGGCGATGTCAAAATTTGGGGTCACTGGACCTTTTATTTTGAGCGGAATGGCTGAACAGTAACTGTCACAGCTGATCGTTATGTTTCGATGCTGCAAAACTTTTTCGAGCCACAATTACAACAGTTGAGTGGTAAAACTATTTTAGGAGATCTGTGGTACCAACAAGAATGGGATACAGCACACACAGCTCGGATTTCTATAGCGAAATTGAGACGAATGTTTCCTGGTCGGCTCGTCTCTTTGAGAGGTGACTTTGGGTGGCCAGCGCGCTCGCCAGATTTAAGCATGTGTGCTTTTTCCGGGGGGGGGGGTGTGTGAAGGAGAAAGTTGTTAAACATCCAGCATACCTTCAGAAATAGACTACATCAGTGTATTGCTGCTGGAAGCCACCATCTCGCCGAGGTTGTCTTCAAAACTAAATAAAAAAAAATGAGATTACATACAAATGATAATAAGAAAGTTTTAAGCCTGTAAACTATTCAGTTTTTCTTTCTCTAAACCGTGTCACCACTTCTGGTCCACCCTGTATTTTTTATTAATTCTTTTTTTTATTAATTAAATTCTATATCTAGATTTGCTAGTTATGCTACTATTTAAGTTTTGGAGATAAAAATCTTTATAATTCTTAATAATTACATATTTATCTATTATTCTTTTTCTATTTAACTATTTATACAGGGTGTGTCATCTAACACTTTTTTCTATTTGAAAAATCAACACGCTTTTTACGAGGTGAAATCGATTTTTTTTATTGATAAATGATGGTTGGTTTATGCCATTTATGTATGAAAAATAACATTAGTCGTGTGACCACCGCGGCTTCGTTTACAAGCCTACATCCGAACATCAAAATTTTCAATGACTTTTCCCAGAATAATCGGGTCTATGGCCGCAATTTCAGTCCGAATATTGCGCTTTAGGTCTTGAATTGTCCGGGGACCATTCGCATACACTTGTCCTTTCAAACATCCCCAAAGAAAATAGTCAAGAGGTGTTAAATCGCACGATCTCAGGGGCCAAATGACTGAATTTCGTGAAATTATGCGGTCTTGAAATTTCGTGTGCAATAAGGCGATTGTTTGGCGAGACGTGTGAGCCGTTGCTCCGTCTTGATGAAACCAAAGATCGTCGGCACCAACATGATCCGATTGTGGCCACAAAAAGCCTGTTAACATTCCGCGATAACGTCCCCGTTGATGGTAATGGCCTTTTCTTCGGCATCTTCAAAGAAGAATGGTCCAATGATGCCTCCAGCCCATAATCCGCACCAAACAGTCACTTTTTCAGGATGGAGAGGTTGTTCATGATATTGGTGTGGATTTTCAGCCCCCCAGAATCTGCAATTTTGCTGATTTACGTACCCATTGAGGTGAAAATGAGCCTCATCAGAAAAGAGCACTTTGGCCGAAAATCCGTCTTCTCTTTCCAGCATCCTATTAACAAAAACACGCCACTGTTGCCGGCTTCAATTCTAGTGTTAGGTGGATTTTGTATGGATGGAGGTGTAAATCAATGTGTAAAATCCGGCGTAAGGTGGTCTCACTAATTCCCAATTGTTGCGAACGGTGCCTAGTCGAGGTGGTTGGATCTTATCGCACACTTTCACTCACTGCGGCTATTTTTTCACGAGTACGAGCTGGACGAGCATGTTGGTGTGGTCTACGACCTTCATCTGAACCAGTTTCCTCAAAACGATTAACAATCCAACGAATTCCAGGCTCTGTATGGCGTCCATGTCGACCAAAACTAGTGCGAAGTTTGCGAAAAGTATTTTTTATATTTCGACCGTTTTCGTAATAAGTTTGGATAACAAAATGCGTTGTTGTGTTGCAAACGAATCCATGACTATAAATGGCATACCTTTGACAGTTCATTTATGCATATCACATGACTTTTGACTCACATGGTAACGCATACACTTATAGGTAAAAAAAACTAATAGATGGCGCACCTAGTACTTCTAAAGAAACATAATTTTTGATACTTATTTTATAACTTATCACATATTTTATTCTAAATTAATCATCTATACAGGGTGTCCCAGAAGTCGACGTCAAGCCGAAACCGGGTGTTAGGCAAAGTCATAACAGCTATCAGAAAAATATTTAAAAAAAATTTATGTATGTGTTTTGAAAATTATAGGTCTTTGAAAAAGATATAGAAATTTCACACCTTACGGCAGTCTGTCAACTCCTGTTACTACAAATATTAACTTTTTTTGGATTTTATTTTTACAATGTAATGATGAATAATGCATCTTCAAACTGGTGTCTCAACCTTACTGCCAACTTTTCTCGTTCAGGAACAATTGCCACTTATTTCCCAACCAAGTATTCCAAAGTAAAACTTTGCTCAACTTTAACTGGCTGTACTGGAAAAAAATGTACTACGAGAGTTTGGCAAGTAACCTTAAAAGTTGGCGCATTTAATAACGATTCCAAAATGGTATAACACTTAGAAGATTACTCGTTAACTTATGCACAATTTTTATTTGAAAAAAACTAATGAAAATTTTTCAAAATTCAAAATTGCCTAATTAAACAGCGATTATGGAAACGCACAAGGACTCTTAAGGATAACTGTTTGCACAACAGTGGGCGTCAAAATGCTGCTGATGATGATTTACCTTTACAGCAAATGCTCAAACTGTTTTCCTTCAGCCGCAATACACGCTCGACATCTTCTTAAAAACGATCGGGTTATTAAACGAGCGAATCCACGGTTATTAACAAACTCAGCTGCTTCCAATAGTCTTTGCCGTAGCTCAGCTACATTTTGAATCGGCTTGAAATACACTTTTTCTTTTACAGTTCCCCAGTAAAAAAATCTAAAGGATTCTAATCAGGTGATCGGGCTGGCCACGGTATTGTACCAGACCGCCTTATCCATCTGCCTGGAAAGTTTTGATCGAGATACTCTCTCACTGAGAGTGCATAGTGCGCTGGGCAGCCATCATGCTGAAACCACATGTCCCTGTAAATACTCAGTGGCACGTCCACCAATAAATTTTGTACATGATTTTTCAAAAAATCCAAATAAACTTCAGCAGTCAAAGTCTCGGGGAACTCAAACGGACCGATTAGTTTACCATTTAAAATTCCTGTCCAATGGTTTATCTTGAAGCGATATTGAGATTTATCTTCTCTCATCAAATGTGGGTTTGCTACGTGCCAGTCGTGTAAGTTATGCAGGTTCATGAACCCATCTTTCTTAAATGTGGTCTCATCTGTCCATAACATTTTTTCAAAGAACTGTGGATCTTTCCTGTGTCTTTCTAACATTGTGCGACAAAAAGCAACTCGGAGCTCATAATCCCGGGGCAGGAGAGGTTGAACACGCTGTATGTGGTATGGATGACTGCCGTAAGGTGTGAAATTTCTATATTTTTTTCAAAGACCTATAATTTTCAAAACACATACATAAAATTTTTTTAAATATTTTTCTGATAGCTGTTATGACTTTGCCTATCACCCGGTTTCGGCTTGACGTCGACTTCTGGGACACCCTGTTACTTATGTTAATCTGACTTTTTCTTGTTGACGTTTTATATCTGCAAAGCAATTTGAAAATAAAATTATTATTATAACATCGACATTTTCGCATTTTTAATGTCAGCATCGATGCTTTCTAAAGAAGCACTTCCGATGAATCTACGATTATACAGGGTGACCAATATGTAAGTAACTGGTTTGTATCTTGAATATTTCTGAAACGAAATAAAATACGTCCATTTTTTCATCTAATCTTTTAGTGAAACTTCGGAATTATGTATGAAAAGTAATATCAGACAACTGTCCGCCTCTAGAAGCCGCTCTTGGGTTAACAGAATTGTGTATGGCCGCAAATGCAAGTCTTTTTTTAAAATAGTTTCTTGAGAACGATGTCTGGTAGACGTCTCAGGGCGCTCCACTACACACTCACGAACTCTCTCGATATTTTCCGGAGTACGAACAGTTCGAACACGACCCGACCTTGGCAAGTCTTTAACTTCACCTGTTCGTACAAATTTCAGCACCAACTGACGAATAATAATAATAATAATAAATGCGTGTATCAAAAATGGCGCGCAACTTAAATCAGTCAGTTATTATATCGGCCACCCTGTATCAGTATGGATGTTTTTGAAATAAGTACTTTCAATTAGATATTCGACGTTTTCAGGCTGATTTAGACGGTGACAGACTAGTAAACGATGTTGTCATGGATATAAACAGACCAATTGCATTCGATGCCATCATGAGGGTGAGAACTTCCACTGGAGTCAGACCTACTGATTTCTACGGTCACTTTTATATGTCAAATACAACTGATATGGAGTTAGCGGCAATTGGTAAGTGAACTTCATTCGTTTTGTATCATAATAGGTTTACTCCAAATAAATTTGAATATTTTGATATCTACAAAACTGCTCTGGAATTTGGTGGTGGAGATAGGGATGAGGTTGAAATAAAACAAAAATCGCGAAAAATATAAACTTTTTATTGCTACAGTCAGCCTCCAATCAGTAAAATAAAACAGCCAACAGCTTTTTATGTAACCCTGCATTAAATTCGTAAAACACAGGGTAAAAAAATCCTTTTCTACTTCAAATAAAACAAGCTTTAAAGAGAAAATCCGCCGTTATCACTGCATTAGTACATAAATAAAATTTACTAACGACGAATTGCGTTTTTTTTCTGTGTTTACTGAGGTGCAATATATGCTTTGTGTTCCATTTATTTTTGTTTTCGCCTTCGGAAATAAGCCGTGGATGTTGTGGCGTCGTGTGTTTGTCTCAGAGATTTACATATACAGGGTGTAAACGTTATGATAGTCATTATTCAAATGGGTGATAGAGGGGGTTTAAAGAAGCAAAAAGTTTCATATAGCATGGGGATCAAAACGGCATTTTTTTAAAAGTAAAATAAAATCTGACAACGCCGCAATGCCAGACGTAAATTACGACGGAACGCAGTGTAAATAAAGATGGAGTCTGTTATTTTTGGCTCTCAGGTATTATTTCATTATTTGATAATGTACTCGTAAAATGCAAACAATTCAAATGGGTGATAGGGTGTGTCAGGTCAGTATGCAACCTTCAACCGACGGTTACGGTCACGCGTGTAGAGGTAATCGCGTAGACGAGAATCCCTCAACAAGCACTAGAGACGTGGCTAGAGAAGTGCAAGTATCAAAAACTAAAGTGTGGCAAACGTTGCGTGAAGAGGGGCTGTATCCGTTTCACGTCCAACGTGTACAAGCCCTTCAACCTGACGATTTTCCGGGAAGAGTGCGGTTTTGTGAGTGGTTGTTGCATCAACATGACAATAATCCGGACTTTTTGAAGTGCATATTGGTGACAGACGAATCTACGTTCACGCGTAATGGGGTGAATAACTTTCGCAACACTCATGTTTGGTCAGTAGAAAATCCGCACGCTGTCCGTCGGGCACATTTTCAACAAACATTTTCGGTGAATGTTTGGGCTGGCATGGTGAACGGTATGCTCATTGGACCATTTATTCTCCCAAATCGATCGGACGGGATGCAATACCTAGACTTTTTACGCAACATTTTGCCTTCCTTGTTTGCCTGCGTCTGCTCGGTAGCGCATCAGCTGATTTCATTTTCTGTTGGAGCGGTATGATTTCGGGCAGAGACGTACTTAGCCCTTCTCGTCAACTGGAGAGTGAGTACTTTTTCCTTTATTTTTTTTTACTTGGTCTCCCTCGTTTCACAACACATTACCTTTGTTATTTCAAGGGTAGTTGTTTCCCCAACTTTGCGGACACCCTGTAGATTGGACCTGGCTGATGGGGGAAATTATATTTTTTTAATTTTCAGATTGTGACAAAGCCGTTGGTATAGAGATCAAGCACGACGACAAACTGACAGAAGAGGAAAATGTTTACGTGCAAGCTGCCTTGCTGTACACCTCCTGTTCGGGTCAACGGAGACTGCGAATATTGAATTTATCTTTCAAATCGTGTTCGCAAATGGCGGATTTGTATCGCAGTTGCGAACTAGATACTTTGATCAACTACATCAGCAAACAAGCCGTGTACAAGTTGCTCGACAGCAATCCGAAAGCCGTCAAAGAGGCCATAGTGAGCAGATCCGCGCAAATACTCGCGGCGTACAGGAAGAATTGCGCGTCGCCTAGCAGCGCAGGTGAGCGATATTTATTTTTACTTTCCACTTTCCTCTGGTCGAGTATTGTAATTGCAAAAAAAAAAATCGGAAATTGTATGTTATGTTTCATCTTACTCATTTCCGCTGATTTTTTAAGAGGTACAGGATTTGATTTAAAAAAAAAACACAAAAAAATTTAAAAAACGATTAAATCTTTATTTGAGTCGATAGAACGGTCGATATAATTTAATGTTTAAAGATTATTTCATGTAAATGTTGGCCGCGGTTCCGCTTTAGATGGCCCATGCGCAAGGTCCTATTTTGGCACACTCTCCAACATATCGGCCGGTAGCTCACGAATAAATGCTTCAATATTGGCTTCCAGTGCGTCAATCGTTGCTGGTTTATCCCTGTAGACATTAGCCTTAACATGGCCCCACAAGAAATAGTCCAACGGCGTTAAATCACACGATCTAGGCGGCCAATTGACGGGCCCCAAACGTGAGATAAACTGTTCACCGAACTCGGCTCTCAATAGGGCCATTGTTTGCGGTGTGGCATGTGGAACCGTCTTGTTGAAACCACATGTCAGCCAAGTCCAGCTCTTCCATTTTGGGCAAAAAAAAGTTTGTCATCATCGCACGGTAGCGCTCGCCATTCACAGTTGAATTCCGGCCATTGTCGTCTTTGAAGAAGTACGGCCCGATGATGCCACCGGCCCATAATCCACACCAAACAGTGATTTTTTTGGGATGCATTGGTAGCCCTTGCAATGCTTCTGGCTGGTCTTCACTCCAGATGCGGCAATTTTGCTTGTTAACGTACCCATTCAACCAGAAATGAGCTTCGTGGCTGAACACAATTTTTCGATAAAAATGTGGATCCTCCTCCAACTTTGCTAGCGCCCATTCACCAAATTGGAAACGTTGTGGGAGGTCGTGTGGCTTCAATTCTTGCACCAGCTGTATCTTATAAGGTTTTACACCCAAATCCTGTCGCAAAATTTTCCACGTAGTGGAGTAACAGAGGCCCAATTGCGGTCATCACTAACACTGGCGGATACAGCCGCAATATTTTCTTCAGTCCTCACTCTACGTCTGCGTGTTGGTGGTTTAATGTCCAATAATGTAAACTGGGTTCGAAATTTAGTCACAAGCTTCCGAATAGCTCCCTCAGTAGGCCGACCAAATTGCCCATAAATTGGAAGCAGTGCTCGATGCACTCTCTTAACCGAGCATGAATGTTGATAGTAAAATTCAATAATTTGCAAGCGTTGTTCGTTCGTAAGTCGATTCATGGTTAAATTATAGACCAAACTGAACAAGTTTGACAATGACACAAGACACGATTCACGCGTCATCTGTCAAAAACAGTGTTGCCAAAAAGATACTAGCAAAAAAATCACCCATTATATACTTCCGCTAGTAGAATAATTGTGGCACTCACTGTTCAATACAATAAAATTTTCTAATTGAAGTGTTCATTGACCCTTCCAACAGAAACGGAAATTTGACGGACCGGCTGATGGATTTGGACATTTGAACTAAAACCCTTTCAGTTTCTGCAGTCGCGTTTTTTGTATTTTTATTCATTACAGGTCAGCTGATCCTCCCCGAATGCATGAAGCTCCTCCCTCTGTACGTCAACTGTCTCCTGCGGAGCGACGCGCTGAGCGGAGGCAGCGACATGACCGTAGATGACCGGTCATTCGTCATGATGGCCGTCATGACCATGGACGTGCCCTCGTCCCTCAACTACTTCTACCCGCGGTTGATGCCGCTGCACGACTTGGAACCGCCCACCGGCGATGGGCCTGTCACCATTCCCGCCCCCATCAGGTGTACTTACGAGAAGATCGGAGATCAAGGCGTGTACCTTTTAGGTAAGTTGCTCTCCTCTTTGTTTGTTATATATTCGATTATTTCCTTAGCATTCGTCGTCTAGTTCGAGGGTATATGACATTTATAGACAGGTTTGTATCCATAATAGGTATAAATGTGGAATAATTTTGTTTTACAATTGTTCAGGTATTTTTATAAGGTCTCCTTCAAAGTACTCCCCCTTAGACAAGATGCGGTTTCCACTGTTGATACGATCTCTGAAAGTTTTCAATTGTGAGGCTCTTCATTTACCTTGTCGTTTCTGCCTTGGCGGTTTCCACATCCCCCGAGTGCCGCCCTGAAGTATCATTTTGCATTTTGGGAACAGGAAGAAGTCGCAAGGGGTTGAATCGGGTGAATAAGGCGGGTGACGTGATGAAGGATCCACCTGCCCCCTTTAGTAGTAGTAGAAAGATTTATTTAGCACATTTGGCTACATAAACAGAACAATTGTAAACAACTTAGAACTAGTAAATTCAGGCCATATGGTGTATGATGTAAATGCTGGGCAACCTATAATTATAGATTTAACAAGTGACTTCTCAATTTTACTTTAAATTTTGTCAAAGTTTTCTGGTCTTTTATCTCCGAGTATAATTTATTATATTCAATCAACCCTTGATGGAATACAGATTTGTAGCATATGTTTTACTTTTTGGTCATTAAATGGAAGTCACCTTTATTTCTGGTATTATGTAAATGATGGTCGACATTTGATGATGTTAAATTAGTTAGACTTGATGGAAATATATTATTTTTTACTTTATAAATGAATATCATTACAAGATATTTGATAAAATTTTTTACATTGAGCCATTTTAATTTGCTAAGCATTTGCCTAATTGGAGTATATTTATCTTTATTTAGTATTATTCTCATGCACTTATTTTGTAAAATTTGCAGTCTTTCAAAAATGGAATTATTTGCTAAATATAGAATAGTCGAACAGTACAAGAAATTTGGAAGAATGATGGTATTATAGATAATTTTTCTGCTATATGAACTCAGACATCCAGAAACTCTCGATAAATATCCCACTTTACTACTAATCTTATTTATAGCTTTTTCATAATGAATATCAAAAATTAATCGAGAGTCAACAAAAAACCCCCAGGTATTTAAAATTTTCTACGAATTCAATATCTTCACCATCAATATTCAGTTGAACATTTGTACATTGTTTTTTTCCGATTAACAAGGCTTTCGTTTTACTTGCATTTAATTTTAGTCTGTTAGATGCTAACCATTTTGAGACAAGCTTCAAGTCTTCATTTATATAAGAGATACCAGACTGAATATTTTTAGTACTTATATAAATCATAGTGTCATCGGCGAAAATTTGAATTTTGCATTTTTTGACTATGGCAGGTAAATCATTCATGTATAAAATAAAAAGAAGTGGTCCCAGGATACTGCCCTGTGGAACACCCAACGTATTTTCAATTTTTGATGAAATAGTGTCATTAACTTTTGTAACTTGCATCCTTTTAGAGAAATAATTTCTAAACCAATCTAAAACACTTCCTGTTATACCATATGCCTTCAATTTACCTAACAAAATATCTCTATCAATCGTTTCAAATGCCCTCTTCAAATCCAAAAATACTGCTATGACAACTTCTTCTGAGTCTATGGCTCTTCTCCAATTCTCAGTTACCAACTGGAAAGCTGTTTCTGTGGAATATTTTTTTCGAAAGCCTGCTTGCGCCTCCACTAAAATTTTGTTTTCTTCTATAAACTGCATTAATTGGTCATGCACTATGGACTCTAATAATTTTTCAATGTCTGGTAACACATTTACTGGTCTCATATCGCTGCATCTTTTAGAATTTTTTATTTTGGGAACTGGTGTTATTGTAGAGCATTTCAAATTTTCAGGGAAAGAACTGCTTCTCAGTGAACAATTGATCCAATTTAATACAGGATATCCCAAAATTTCGAAACAAGTTTTTCAGCACGTTTTTAGTAGTAGTTGTTATTTGATTTTAAACTGTTTACTTTTTTTCTTAGATAATTCAATGATACGCTGTGAAATTTTGAAAGTGTATGCAACATTTCCCCCTGGAAACTGATTTTCATATAGTCAGGTGCAGCATTGGCAGTACCTACAATATCAACAATACTTTCCACAAAATATTCATTTAGTTTGTATGCAATCACCAAAGAATTTGTTTCGGTACCGTTTTCGAATTGAACTTGATTTACACAATCATGCGGCTTCGAATTGATCAGTCTTTTTAAAGTCTTCCACATCTTTACACTGTCGCACTTGTTATTATCGATTTGTTTATCGTAGAATTTCTTTTTTCTTCTCTAATTACATATACACATTTATTCCTAAGAGTTTTATATACCTCCCAATCATCATTTGATTTTGTGAATATACATTTATTGTATTGTTTGTCTCTCAAATTTTGAGCTGCCTTAATATTCTTGTTATACCAAATCCGGGCGAGCTCGGGCCACACGAGCTCTGATCTTCAATGTAGAAGTTTCCGTTCATTGTCTGGCTGGGAGGGACAAATTCCTGGGGAACAATGCCCCGAGAATCAAAGAAAAGAATCAACATTGTTTTCAGATTGGACCTTTTTTGTTCTCGGTTCCCCTGCTTGCTTCCACTCCAGGCTTTGAGATTTCAGCTCCACGTCGAATTCGTAGAACCAACACTCGTCTTCAGTGAGAAAGTCCACCTCAGCGTCCAACCAATCATCACAGTAAGCAACCCTCCTTGCTTTCTGTTCTGGAGTCAAGAGCTTCGGATCGATTTTCGCGCCCAATTTTTTCATTGCAAGCTTTTCTGTCAGAATTTCGTGGACGGGGATTGAATCATTCTATCCGCAGTCCCGAATTCGTTCATTTCGCTCAGAGCTCGATGTGGAGCGGCGTCCTGAGCTTTGGTCATATTTCATAACTTCTCGGCCGCATTAAAATTTTTTTTGGCGAAGTTGTGCTTCAGTTGTTATTGGACCAGCCCCATAAACCATCCCTTTATGTTCTTCCCAATACCAGAAATCCATCGGATTGAGGTCAGGAGATCTTGCTGGCCATTTTAGAGGATCACGAGCATTTCGCCGATCCAGCGATTTGGATAACGTTCATTCAAATACTGAATGACGCCTCTAAAATATGTTGCGGTGCCCCGCCATGAAGAAACCACAAATTCTGTCTCCGTTGTAATGGCATGTTGTCTAAGGTCTGTTCCAAAAGTTCTGGTAGGTTATAGGCTAGAAAGCTAAGGTATCCTTCTGCTGACAACTTTGGGGGTAACTCGAAAGGGCCAAATACCTGTCAAGAATACCCGCCCAAATATTTATTTTAAAACGTTGTTGGAAATGGCCTTCACGAGTGGTATGAGGATATTAGTGGGCTGAACACTTCCTGTATCTCGAAGTCTTTGGTACACTTGGCGATAAATTTGAGCTGCAAGATTTGAATTCTGACGAGCTTCACCGTAAACTAACAACATGTCGGCGAACTCTTGATTCGAGAACATTGTAAATAAACACGACGATGTACGCGAACAAAAACAAAACAACACGCCCGATGCTCTGTTCTACAAAACGATAAAGTAATTTATCTATGCAAAACGATAACTAACCACTGTTACCGTTTGCGATCGATTGCCGGTTCGATAAGGGTGATGAAAGACCGAAGCGCTGTTGTCATGTGTGTTTTAAATATTTAATTTAATGAAACTTACTGACTACAAATTTAGAAATGTTTTAAAATAACAAATCGTTAACTCTTCTTTCATGTGTTTTTAACATTTTCTTATCATATTGGTGAAACTGCATAAAAATATTTTTTTTCCAGAAAATGGCATTCACATGTTCCTCTGGTTCGGCTTGGGCGTGAATCCAGAATTTATCCAGAAGTTGTTTGGTGCTCCATCTGCTATTCAAGTGAACCTGGAAGCAGGACTTCCTGAGCTGGAAAATCCTCTAAATATTGCTGTTAGGTCAATTATAGAAGAAGTTAGGATACAGAGGCATCGGTGTATGAGGGTGAGTAGAAAAATAAAGCTCTTTATTTTCTCTTATTAATAATAGATGGTACGAGGATTGTTTCAAAAATAAGGTTTCCAGATTTTTTTTTTCAGGCATATGGAATTTTTTATTTGATAAAACGAATTCACCATTGGAAACGTTCATCGTCGTCATTTCTTTCTACGCATTTTTTTTTAGACCTGAAATCCTCTTGTATATGTAATATATTGTACATATTTTCTCAATAATTGAACTTAAATCAGTGGCACAGGCTGTAAAAGGTTCAGTACACTTTGTTTGGTTTGAGTGGTGGATAAATAAAATAACAAAATCGGTGTCGAAGTTTAAACATTTTCTGACTACAAACATGGGTTAAACTACAATCTACGAATAATAAGCCACCTGTCACTGTCACTAAAATTCGATTGTAAAAAATTGCAGAATTTTAGTACTATCCCAAAGGTATAAAAAAATACGGATTTTTAGCGGAGACTATTTGGAGATATCCATTACATTACTTTCTTTATTTTAAGTGCGCAAAGACGAGACAAATGCGACGAGTACGATTCTGATTTTTTCGGATTTTACGCGGTACCATCTCGATAATTAAAACATACAGGGTGTCCCAACAAAAATAGAAAGTACGAGGGCGGTCGGAAAAGTTTCCGACTTAACAAAGATACAAGACATTTTTTCGGATTTTTTTTATTTTTCAACATACAGCCTCCTTGTAATTCTACACACTTCTCCCAGCGATACTCCCATCCAAATAGTACTCGGCGTTTTTCGCTTGGGGCTAGATCTGGTGAGTCAGGCGGATGGTCAAGCAGTTCAAACCGTAATTCGTGGATTTTTGTCATGGCTACCGCTGAGGTGAGAGACAGTGCCGCCATCTTCACGCTCCTAGTTCTTTGAGCGAACTGGAAAAAAAAGATCTCCAAAATCATTTTATAGTATTATATACCCTTGCCATGTATTTTTTTAAATAGAATACCCTAAATTTTATTGCATAAAAACAAGAAGTTTGATATCAGATAACACATGGTTTCCACTGTCCATTGCTTAGATATTTAGTGAAATGCCTGAAAAAATTCCCAACTTTGACAAGTCACAGCCATTTTCAGACAAATTTTAGTTCACAAAAATTTTAGTATCGTTGATTTCAAGCTAATCTGAAAGAACTGCTAAAATATCTTTTTATTTATACAGGATATCTCGTAACGCAAAATGTACTTTTTCTCATAAATTTCTACAGCATTAAATAGTTTTCCTTGAGAACTTTTTTTGAATATGTGGCAACACCGGCTGCTGCTGAGCACCAAAACCTCTTTCATCGTTGTACTAGGGGAATTTACATGCGATTTTCTCCGCTTTTAAGCTGTAGTTATATACTAAGTGACCTATAAATCCGAACAGCCAGTTTAAATGGTTTTATTTTAATAAAATTTTGTATAAGTACTTAATGAAGCATAATAAGTAAATGATAAAAATTTCAAAATGATTGCACTGCTTTAAAGCCCTTTGACCTTTAATAATGTGTGGATGCACCCTGATGTGCTACGCATTCTCCAACGCGCCTAGGCATGCTTCTGATCAGGTGGTCAATGTCCTCCTGTGGTATGTCATTCCAGGCAACCACCAACTCCTCTCGAAGTGCTTCTAGAGTCTGAGGAGGACGTTGCAAATTGAACAATCTACCCATCATATCCCACACGTGCTCAATTGGGGATAAGTCGGGAGATCTTGGTGGCCATGGTAACAATGTGACATCATTATGTTGAAAGAAGTCTATTGTGACTCTTGCAACATGTGGTCGGGCATTATCTTGTTGGAAAGTTGGATCTGCCAGGGTGTCAAGATAGGGTAAAATATGGGGTTCTAGAACTTCGTGGATATAGCGCTGCGCGTTCATGTTACCTCTGATGAAGATTAAAGGTGACCTGGAACCATAAGATATAGCACCCCAAACCATAACTCCAACAGTGTGATGAACATGTCTTTCAACAAAAAAACTGTGGATTCCTCCTTTCACCACGTCGCCTTCTAACCCTGGCACGACCATCGTGCATGCCTAAACAAAATCGAGACTCGTCACTAAAGACAATACTGTTCCATTCCTGATCCCAGAGTGACCGTTGTCTGCACCACTCAAGTCGATTACGTCGGTGTTCTCGAGTTAAAGGGAGGACCCAGTGTGGCCGGTATGAAAACAAGCCAAAACTTCTCATTCGTCGGTAAACACTTCGCATGCCAATAGGTCTTCCGTGTTCTGCAAACCATTCATTTGCAATGGACCTGGTAGTGGAGAAACGGTCCCTTAAGGCCAATAATCTTAGGCGGCGATCTTCACGGTCTGTTGTTCTACGGCGGCGTCCAGAGCCCCTTGCTGTTTGCGTACGACCTTCTCGAAGCCATGCTTGACAACACCTAACCACAGTGTCTACACTTCTTTGCACTCTAACTGCAATTGCCCGAAAAGAAAGTCCAGCTTCCCGAAGTCCCACTATACGGCCCCTATCAAACTCACTAAGTTGACGAAATCGTACAGGTCTCCGTACTCTAGGCATCGTAACCGATCGTAAAGGATGTCAAGAACCAAAATCCGCCAACGTTGATTCTTTACTGCGGCTGAAATATTCATTTTTAGAGCGTTAGTGAATTAAAAAAAAGCAGTATAAAAACCGGAATGTCCAACTGATAAGGCTGAAAATTTTTGCACTTGTTATTTACAGTAAGATAAACACATTCACCAACTTTTATTAAAATAAAACCATTTAAACTGGGTGTTCGGATTTATATGTCACTTAGTATATTTTAGTGCTGACCACTTGATTTTGAATTTCAGTTGACGTTGGTGAGGCAGCGCGAGAAACTGGAGCCGGTATTCAAGCACTTTTTGGCTGAAGACCGCGGGACGGATGGCTCGCCAAGCTACGTAGATTTTTTGTGTCATCTTCATAAAGAAATTAGGGCGTTACTAAGCTAGCATAGAAAGTAGGGATCTGTTGCCTGGTTTACTCCAAATTTTGGTTAAATAAGAAGCTGAGTTGGTTACGAACGTACATTTAATTAGAACCTATTTTCTGTGCTGGCGAGTATTTGAATCTGAAATTTCTTACGTGCTTCTTGTTTAACTGTATCTAGTGTAAAAATATGTAATTGTATTCCGAATCTTTATTATATTTGTTTTTAGGTTAAAAATATATATATTTACGTTATTAATGTTTTTTTAACGTTTAATGAACTCACACTCTGAATTGGTGTCTCTCCACAGTTGACGTACTTGGTTTTTAGTGTAAGTTCGTGTACAAAAGAAATATATACACCATATTATTTTTTTTATTGGTTTCAATTTACATGTTCAATAAATAAATTGAAAAGCAGCATGTGTTTTTATTAAGCGATCCTACCCTACGCCGTTTTTCTACAGATATCGAATTAGGCGACATCAGAAACGCTGGATGGAATTGAGAGTGCAAAATGCGAGGAAGAATAATAATCAGACGAATAGTCAATTTTTTTAATCCGCACCCTTCTTAAAACATTACAAAAAGAAGTTTTTTTCTCTAGTTTCTCGGATAATTCAGAACGAGAAAGGCCCTTAGTATCTTTTCTGCAAACAAAGTCGTTTCCGACATGTAAGACATTTAATGTCTGAAAACCATTAAAAATTCTCATCCTGAAGCTATTTCTTCCGCAAGTATGATGAATATGCCGTCAAAAATTCTGTTTTACGATTTTGAAATATGGTGAATGTGGTCACTACTCGAGGCGTAAGATATAATTAAAAAAATGGTGGGCACATCCACCATTATCGACAGTCTCATTAAAAAAATGGTAGTTGCGGTCACCGTTGAATGTCTTGTCGACAATCTAATTAAAAAATGGTGAATGCGGTCTGTAGTCCAGGAGTCTTAAATATATTAGTCCAGGTAGTATCTGAAATATTATTGATTTTTCTTTTCGTATATATCTTTGAGGTTGACAAGTATCTAATTTAAAGCTTCCTCTACAAGACGTAGAAGAGTAGTTCAAGATTAGTTTATTCGAAAGCGATTTTTAAGCTAGTTTGTTAGGTCAATTTTGGCAACCTTTTTATTTTCGTAGGCTGTACATATTGTGCAGGTGCTCGATGGAATTGAGCTTGCAAAAAGTAAGGAGCGCATTTTATGAACTGGTATCAACTGAGAAGAAGGTCAAAGAATAATAATTCGAATCTTGCTAGCCCAGTTTTGGTTATTTTTTTAAAACCCTTCTCTCTTAAATTATTACAAAAAAAGTTTTTTTTCGCTCCGGTTGATTCAGAACCAGAAAGGATTTTAGTAATTTTTGTTTAAAGTAAGTCATTTCTGAGCTGTAAGCCATTTAATGTCTGTAAATCCCTAAAAATCCTGAACGGATGCCACTTTTTAATCACATCAACTATTACTAACTACTCAACATTTGAACTACTCTCAGCCATTTTCCTTGCCTATAGGCCTATAGTAAAGGAGACGTAATTCGCGTTAAGTTTACGATTCCGAAAGTATGACGAATATGCCATCAAAAATTGGAAATTTTACGATTTCGAAATATGGTGAATGTGGTCACTACTCGAGGTGCAAGATATAATTAAAAAATGGTGGACACATCCACCATTATCGACAGTATCATTAAAAACATGGTGGTTGCGGTTACCGTTGATGCCTACTTGTCATTCTAATTTCAAAAATGGTGAAGGCGGTCTCTAGGCCAGGAGTCTTAGATATATTATATTAGTCCAGGTAGTATCTGAAATATTCTTATTCATTTTTCCTTTCGCATATATTTTTGAGGTTGACAGGTATCTAATTAAAAGCTTCCTCTACAAGACCTAGAAGAGTAGTTCAAGATTAGATTATTCGAAAGCGATTTTTAAGCTAGTTTGTTAGGTCAACATTGGCAACCTTCTTATTTTCGTAGGCTGTACAATATTGTGCAGGTCCTGGATGGAATTGAGCTTGCAAAAAGTGAGGACTGCATTTTATGAACTGGTATCAACTGAGAAGGTCAAAGATAATAATCCGGATCTTGCTAGCCCAGTTTTGGACAATTTTTCAATACTCTCCTCCCTCAAATCATTACAAAAAACAGTTTCTCGGAGAATTCTGAACCAGAAAGATCCTTAGTAACTCTTCTCTAAAGTGAATCGTTTCCGAGCTATCTGAAAACCCCTAAAAATTCTCAACTGAGAAGAAGGTCAATACCCTCCTCTCTTAAATCATTACAAAAAACGTGTTTTTTTTTTCGATCCAGATAGTTCAGAACCTGTAAGGTCCTTAGTAACTTGTGTCTAAAGTAAGTCGTTTCCGAGCTGTAAGCCATTTAATGTCTGTAAACTCCTAAAAATTATCATCCTGAATGGATGCCACTTTTTAATCACATCAACTACTACTAACTACTGAACATTTGAACTACTCTAAGCCATTTCCCTTGCCTATAAGCCTATAGTATAGGGGACGTCACTCGTGTCAAATTTATGATTTCGAAAGCAAGATGAATATGCCGTCAAAGAAATGGAAGGATTTCAAAATATGGTGAATGTCGTCACTATTCGAGGTGTAAGATATAATTAAAAAATGGTGGACGCACCCATCATTAGCGACAGTCTCATTAAAAAAATGGTGGTTGCGGTCACCGTTGAATGTCTACTGTCTTCTAATTTCAAAAATGGTGAAGGCGGTCTCTGTCCAGGAGTCTTAGATATATTAGTCCAGGTAGTATCTGAAATATTATTCATTTTTCTTTTCGCATGTATCTTTGAGGTTGACAAGTATCTAATTTAAAGCTTCCTCTACAAGACCTAGAAGGGTAGTTCAAGATTAGTTTATTCGAAAGCGATTTTTAAGCTAGTTTGTTAGGTCAAAATTGGCAACCTTCTTATTTTCGTATGCTGTACAATATTGTGCAGGTGCTGGATGGAATTGAGCTTGCAAAAAGTGAGGACCGCACTTTATGAACTGGTATCAACTGAAAAGAAGGTCAAAGAATGGTAATCCGAATCTCGCTAGCCCAGTTTTGGTTATTTTTTTAATACCTTCCTCTCTTAAATCATTACAAAAAAAGTTTTTTTTTCGCTCCGGTTGATTCAGAACCAGAAAGGCACTTGGTAACTTTTGTTTAAAGTAAGTCATTTCTGAGCTGTAAGCCATTTAATGTCTGTAAACCCCTAAAAATCCTGAACGGATGCCACTTTTTAATAACATCAACTACTACTAGCTACTCAACATTTGAACTACTCTCAGCCATTTTCCTTGCCTATAGTAAAGGAGACGTCATTCGCGTTAAGTTTACGATTCCGAAAGTATGACGAATATGCCATCAAAAATTGTAACTTTGACGATTTCGAAATATGGTGAATGTGGTCAATATACTCGAGGTGTAAGATATAATTAAAAAATGGTGGACACACCCACCATTAGCCACAGTCTCATTAAAAAAATGGTGGTTGCGACCGTTGAATGTACTTGTCGACAATCTAATTTTAAAAATGGTGAATGCGGTCTGTAGTCCAGGAGTCTTAGATATATTAGTCCAGGTAGTATCTGAAATATTATTCATTTTTCTTTTCGCATATATCTTTGAGGTTGACAAGTATCTAATTAAAAGCTCCCTCTACAAGACCTAGAAGAGTAGTTCAAGATTAGTTTATTCGAAAGCGATTTTTAAGCTAGTTTGTTAGGTCAAAATTGGCAACCTTCTTATTTTCGTAGGCTGTACAATATTGTGCAGGTCCTGGATGGAATTGAGCTTGCAAAAAGTGAGGAGCGCACTTTATGAACTGGTATTAACTGAGAAGAAGGTCAAAGAATAATAATTCGAGTCTTGCTAGCCCAGTTTTGGTTATTTTTTTTAATACCTCTTAAATCATTACAAAAAAGTTTTTTTTCACTCCGGTTAATTCAGAACCGAAAGGCACTTAGTAACTTTTGTTTAAAGTAAGTCATTTCCGAGCTGTAAGCCATTTAATGTCTGTAAACCCCTAAAAATCCTGAACGGATGCCACTTTTTAATCACATCAACTACTACTAACTACTCGACATTTGAACTACTCTCAGCCATTTTCCTTGACTATAGTAAAGGAGATGTCATTCGCGTTAAGTTTACGATTCTGAAAGTATGACGAATATGCCATAAAAAATTGGAAATTTTACGATTTCGAAATATGGTGAATATGGTCACTACTCGAGGTGTAAGATATAATTAAAAATGGTGGACACATCCACCATTATCGACAGCCTCATTAAAAAAAAATGGTGGTTGCGGTCACCGTTGAATGTCTGGTTGTCGACAATCTAATTTTAAAATTGATGGAGGCAGTCTCTAGTCCAGGAGTCTTAGATATATTATATTAGTACAGGTAGTATCTGAAATATTCTTGTTCATTTTTCTTTTCGTATATATTTTTGAGGTTGACAGGTATCTGATTAAAAGCTTCCTCTACAAGACCTAGAAGAGTAGTTCAACATTAGTTTATTCGAAATCGATTTTTAAGCTAGTTTGTTAAGTCAAAATTGTGAATTGTGAATTGAGCTTGCAAAATGTGAGGACCGCAGTTTATGAACTGGTATCAACTGAGAAGAAGGTCAAAGCATGGTAATCCGAATCTTGCTAGCCCAGTTTTGGTCAATTTTTTCAATACCTTCCTCTCTTAAATCATTACATAAAACAGTTTTTTTCGCAGCGAATTTTTTTCTAATTTCTCGGATATTTCTGAACCAGAAAGACCCTTAGTAACTTTTCCCTAAAGTGAGTAGTTTCCGCGCTGTAAGCCAATTAATGTTTTAAAACCCTTAAAAATTCTCATCCTGAAGGATTAAAGAATCGCAAGGCTATTTCTTCCTTCCGAATGCCATTTTCTAATCACATCAATCAGCGAATAGAATCCTAGTCCGTTTTAATTACTCAACATTTGAAATATTTTCAGCCATTTTCCTTGCCTATAGGCCTATTGTGAAGAGGACGTCACTCGCGTTAAGTTTATGATTTCTAAAGTATGACGAATATGCCGTTAAAATTTGAATGTTTTACGATTTAGAAATATGGTGAATATGGTCACTACGAGAGGTGTATCATTTGATTAAAAATGGAGGGCACATTCCCATTATCGTCAGTATTGTTGAAAAAAATGGTGGAGGCAGTCATTGTGGTCGACAATCTAATTTTAAAAATGGTGGAGGTGGTCTCTACTAGTCCAGTAGTCGTAGATCTATTAGACCAGGAAGTATCTGAAATATTCTTGTTCATTTTTCTTTTCACATATATTTTTGAGGTTGCCAAGTATCTAATTTAATGCTTCCTCTACAAGACCTAGAAGAGTAGTTCAAGATTAGTTTATTCTAACGCGATTTTTAAGCTAGTTTGTTAGGTAAAAATTGGCAACCTTCTTATTTTCGTAGGCTGTACATATTGTGCAGGTGCTGGATCGTTATCACAATAATAGGAGAGGTACTTTTTCTTCCGGATGCCATTTTCTAATCACATCATTCAGTCAATAGAATCCTAATCCGTTTTAGCTACCCAACATTTGAACTACTGTCAGTCATTTTCCTTGTCTATAGGCCTATAGTAAAGGGGACGTCACTCGCGTCAAATTTAAGATTTCGAAAGTAAGATGAATAAGCCGCCAAAAAAATGGAAAGATTTCAAAATATGGTGAATGTGGTCACTACTCGAGGTGTAAGATATAATTAAAAAATGGTGGTCACATCCACCATTAGTAACAACCTCATTAAAAAAATGGTGTGAGCCATTTAATGACTTAAAACCCCTAAAAATTCTCATCCTGAAGGATTAAAGAATCGCAAGGCCATTTCTTCCTTCCGAATGCCATTTTCTAATCACATCAATCAGCGAATAGAATGCTAGTCCGTTTTAACTACTCAACATTTGAAATACTTTCAGCCATTTTTTTTGCCTATAGGCCTATAGTAAAGGGGACGTCACTCGCGTCAAGTTTACGATTTCGAAAGTATGACGAATATGCCGTTAAAGTTTGGAAGTTTTACGATTTAGAAATATGGTGAATGATGTACTACTCGAGGTGTATGATTTATTTAAAAGTAGTAGGTACATTCACCATTATCGACAGTCTTTTCGAAATAATGGTGGCGTCATTGTCGACAATATAGTTTTAAAAACGGTGGAGGCGGTCTCTAGTCCAGTAGTCGTGGATTTATTAGTCCAGCGAGTATCTGAAATATTCTTACTCGTTTTTCTTTTCCTATAATCGTTATCGAAAGAATAAGACAGCTATTTCTTTCTTCCGGATGCTAGTCCGTTTTAACTACTCAACATTTGAAATACTTTCAGCCATTTTTCTTGCCTATAGGCCTATAGCAAAGGGGACGTCATTCGCGTTAAGTTTACGATTCCGAAAGTATGACGAATATGCCATCAAAAATTGGAAATTTTACGATTTCGAAATATGGTGAATGTGGTCACTACTCGAGGTGTACGATTTATTTAGAAGGAATGAGTACATTCACCATTATCGACAGTATTTTCGAAATAATGGTGGCGTCATTGTCGACAATCTAGTTTTAAAAACGGTGGAGGCGGTCTCTAGTCCAGTAGTCGTGGATTTATTAGTCCAGCGAGTATCTGAAATATTCTTACTCGTTTTTCTTTTCCTATAATCGTTATCGAAAGAATAAGACAGCTATTTCTTTCTTCCGGATGCTAGTCCGTTTTAACTACTCAACATTTGAAATACTTTCAGCCATTTTACTTGCCTATAGGCCTATAGCAAAGGGGACGTCATTCGCGTTAAGTTTACGATTCCGAAAGTATGACGAATATGCCATCAAAAATTGGAAATTTTACGATTTCGAAATATGGTGAATGTGGTCACTACTCGAGGTGTACGATTTATTTAGAAGGAATGAGTACATTCACCATTATCGACAGTCTTTTCGAAATAATGGTGGCGTCATTGTCGACAATCTAGTTTTAAAAACGGTGGAGGCGGTCTCTAGTCCAGTAGTCGTGGATCTATTAGTCCATCGAGTATCTGAAATATTCTTATTCGTTTTTCTTTTCACATAATCGTTATCGAAAGAATAAGACAGCTATTTCATTCTTCCGGATGCTAGTACGTTTTAACTACTCAACATTTGAAATACTTTCAGCCATTTTTCTTGCCTATAGGCCTATAGTAAAGGGGACGTCATTCGCGTTAAGTTTTGCGATTCCGAAATTATGACGAATATACCATCAAAAATTGGAAATTTTACGATTTCGAAATATGGTGAATATGGTCACTACTCGAGGTGTATGATTTATTTAGAAGTAATGAGTACATTCACCATTATCTACAGTCTTTTCGAAATAATGGTGTCGTCATTGTCGACAATCTAGTTTTAAAAACGGTGGAGGCGGTCTCTAGTCTAGTAGTCGTGGATCTATTAGTCCAGGGAGTATCTGAAATATTCTTATTCGTTTTTCTTTTCCCATAATCGTTATCGAAAGAATAAGACAGCTATTTCTTTCTTCCGGATGCTAGTCCGTTTTAACTACTCAACATTTGAAATACTTTCAGCCATTTTTCTTGCCTATAGGCCTATAGTAAAGGGGACGTCATTCGCGTTAAATTTACGATTCCGAAAGTATGACGAATATGCCATAAAAATTGGAAATTTTACGATTTCGAAATATGGTGAATGTGGTCACTACTCGAGGTGTATGATTTATTTAGAAGTAATGAGTACATTCACCATTATCGACAGTCTTTTCGAAATAATGGTGGCGTCATTGTCGACAATCTAGTTTTAAAAACGGTGGAGGCGGTCTCTAGTCTAGTAGTCGTGGATCTATTAGTCCAGGGAGTATCTGAAATATTCTTATTCGTTTTTCTTTTCCCATAATCGTTATCGAAAGAATAAGACAGCTATTTCTTTCTTCCGGATGCTAGTCCGTTTTAACTACTCAACATTTGAAATACTTTCAGCCATTTTTCTTGCCTATAGGCCTATAGTAAAGGGGACGTCATTCGCGTTAAATTTACGATTCCGAAAGTATGACGAATATGCCATAAAAATTGGAAATTTTACGATTTCGAAATATGGTGAATGTGGTCACTACTCGAGGTGTACGATTTATTTAGAAGTAATGAGTACATTCACCATTATCGACAGTCTTTTCGAAATAATGGTGGCGTCATTGTCGACAATCTAGTTTTAAAAACGGTGGAGGCGGTCTCTAGTCCAGTAGTCGTGGATCTATTAGTCCAGCGAGTATCTGAAATATTCTTATTCGTTTTTCTTTTCCCATAATCGTTATCGAAAGAATAAGACAGCTATTTCTTTCTTCCGGATGCTAGTCCGTTCTAACTACTCAACATTTGAAATACTTTCAGCCATTTTTTTTGCCTATAGGCCTATAGTAAAAGGGACGTCACTCGCGTTAAGTTTACGATTTCGAAAGTATGACGAATATGCCGTTAAATTTGGAAGTTTTACGATTTAGAAATATGGTGAATGAGGTAACTACTCAAGGTGTATGATTTATTTAAAAGTAGTAGGTACATTCACCATTATCGACAGTCTTTTCGAAATAATGGTGGATGCTACAAGTGTTGTAAACAATCTAATTTTAAAAATGGTGAAGGCGGTCTCTAGTCCAGGAGTCCTCCATCTATTAGTCCAGGAAGTATCTGAAATACGATTCATTTTTCTTTTCGCACCAAAATTGCATCAAAAAGTGTTTAAACGTCTTTTAAGCAAATTCCAAAAATTGTTTTTTTCGCTTTGGACAAAGTTCTTTTTTGTTTTACCTCTAAAGTTGATTTAGCGATATGGGCGATATTATATTTGACAAAGTCTTTTTCCGACACCAAAAAAACAGTGAAAAATAAAACGAAAATTATGATATTGCCAAAATATTGTTCGAACATCCGGTTTTGCACCCTATTTTTTCAAATATCAATACTCAAGGAAATCGTATAAAAATAAACTATAATTTTATGTTAAAATATATTTAAAATGATTATTTAGAGCTGACAAACACTCATAGCCTGCTTATGCAATATCATAACCAGCGCGACATATCATTTCAAAACTTCTGAGATACCTTAGGCTATAGGCTATATTCTGTAGTAAAATAATTGAAAATAAAAAATGCAAGATTGCTCAAATTTTGGTTTGAAATGTTTAATTCCGGTTTAGCACCTCAAGCTTTTTTTTAATTGCAAATTTGCTATAGAAACTATCCTATGTTTCATAACTCGCTACAATACTTTTCAATCTGAAAACATTTTTCATGTCCAAAAGAAGCTTCTCCCCATATTCCTTGTGTGGTCCAGGTATATGCAATTAAGTGGACTTTTTTTTTCTCCAAAACTAACCAAGATACGAAAAAACTTCGAGAGAAAAAAATTGTATTTCTATTTGCTCTATCCAAAAGTTATACAAAAGGCAGTGGCGTATATCTTTTTGTCACAAATTTAATATTCGTTCAGACACCGCTCAAGACGCCACTGGATTTAATAAATATAATCAAGTTAGCGTTTAATTAGCTCCTTAATGTTATAAATACCACCACCAAATTGCAACACAAGTAGGTGAAGAAAGTCTAAGAAATTTACGAAAAAATATTTTTTTTTAAATGTTAATACCCTGTATCTTGAGAACGAAGAATTTGCAGGCCTATGTTTATACAACCAACGTGTAGATACTTTTTCTTATTTCTAGTTTATCCATCTTAGAGCAAAAACTTCAAAATAAACAAATGTCAACTGACAGCAAAGTAAGTAGATAAACTTTTGTTCCCAAAGGCAACTTGATATTATTATGTGTTTGTTAAAATTAAAGCCAATGAATGTTGCGCCAAAACTTTCAGGACATACGTTAACATTAGTGGAACTAGAAAACAGATGAATTCTCTTTTGTGGGGTTCCGCTAACCAGTGTTGCAAAACCTCGACTGAATAATAAAAACAAAAAGGATTTGTAATTTTTAATTGTTCTTCCACGGCTACGGACCGAAAAGTAGGTTGACAATAACTGTTCCTGATAACCACGGCGAGCACCTGTTAATTCATCCCTGAACCCTGGCGCATGCGCCGTTTCGGTCCGGTGGCGGTCCGGGAACCGGCGGCGCGTCTCGACGCCGACAGTCAGTTGTTTTGCCGACGCCGACGCCGCCGCCGGGACGCCCTCGACGCTCTCTGATCTCGGCACACCGCGATCGCGACGAAACCTTAAACGATTCTCGCCGGTCGCGGGGATTTTCGAAAAAGCGCTGCAGCTCAGCGGTTTTGGATATCAGGGCAGTAGTGCAGGTGAATATCCGGTGGATCTTGTGGCGGTTAAGTTCTCTTTTTCGAGTTTTATGTGATTGCGTAGCCAAAAAAGTTACGTAGTATTGAAAGTGGAGCGTGAGTTTTCCATGAGGTTTTTTATCATTGGCAATAGTCTGGAATGTGTCAACTAATTGCGAATTTTCAAAGTAGTGTCCCGAGAGACCGAAATAACGTTCAATCTTATTCAGTTTTTTGGAAAGAGTGTCCGTTGACATAAACTTTGAAGCATGACTTTGAAACTTATATATAGATATGCCGGCGCCTGATATTTTTATGAGTTGATTCATGTTCTCGAGAAGTTTGTATAGGTTTGACCACTTTGTTTCTGAGATAATCCCTGTGGAACTTGAATGAGTCTTTGCTTCAAATTTTAAATTTTTTATATACACAGTATAAGAAGTTTTTTCCCTAAATTGGCATTCCCATTGATATAGGCAAAAACTGCTATACAGGGTGTTTTAGTTGAGTCATTTATTTTCACTGCTTGTAGTACTCGTCAATAGGAGTCGATATACCAAAAATCACCTATATAAAAGTTGCATAATAAAAGAAATAGTAAAAGGTTACAAATTTTAAAAAACAAGAATGTTACTATACAGAATTTTTGATATTATAAAATGGCGTTTTTTGATCACTACTCTTATCGTATATCTAAATTTGGCAAACTTTTTGTGTTATTGTATGGTTTTCGTTACGAGTCTTTGGTTCGATATAGTCTCTAAATAGTGCGTATACTTTTCGTAGTTAAGGTTTTCAAAATGGGTAGAGGAAAGGTTATTAGTGAGAAAATTCGTTTACTGATAATTAAATTTCTTTATCCTGGGAAATCAAACTGAGAAATTGCAACTTTGTTAGACTTATCGCGGTACAATGTGAGAAATATTGTCAGAAGACATAACGTAACTGGTTCAGTTAATATTAAGCCACGATATGTGAAAAAAAGTAATATCACAAATTATTAATTATTTACAATTAAGTGCTCTGTGGAGTGACGCTGTTGGAAGGAGAATTTCGAGGTCCACAATTCATAGAGAGGACCACAAACTGGGATTTAGCACTTGCAAGGTGAGTTTTCTTATAAAAAAAAGTGAAGTAAAAACCCTAAAGCTGCACAACTTGTTTATAGGCCAAAGAAAAGCCACTATTAACTCCACTGCAAAAGAAAAATCGGCTTAGATGGGCTAAAGAACATAGACAATGGACACCTCAATAATGGTATGCAATACAATGGAGTGATGATGCCCGATTCGAAGTTTGTGTTGGTCTCAGTCGCAGTAGAGTTAAACGCAAAAAAATGAAGCATTCCATGTTGACTGTCTCAAGAGAAAAGTGAAATTTCCAGCATACATTATGGTCTGGGGCAGTATGTCATCAAAACGAGTAGGAAAACTTCATTTTATTGATGGAAATGTGGATACAAACAAATATATGGCAATTTTAGAAGAATCACTTTTACCTGTAATGGAAGAATGATTGACATCCGGTCAAGATTTTGTGTTTCAGCAAGATGGTGCAGCGTGCCATACCTCAAAAAAGGCTATAAAATGGATGGAAGAAAATAATGCACCACTTGTGAAATGGGTTTCTAGCAGTCCAGATCTGTCACCTATTGAAACTTTGTGGCATGAGATGAAAAAGGTTCTACGACAACATCCTGCTCGTACAATCACCGAACTCAGACAAAAGCTTCCAGAAATATGGGGTTGTTTTACACCAAATTTTTGCCAAAACTTGGTTAACACTATGCCCAAGAGAATTTCAGCCGCAATAAAAAATACAGGTGATGTTACCCAATGGTAATCTTTCAATTGTTGCTTTGTTAACTCCGGGCATTTATTCGCACATTGTTTATTTGTTCTATTAGTTATAGGTCTAAGTGATTTCAAATATGTATTTTTTAGAGTGTATCTAAAATGTTTTTGAGAAAATAAATTGTTTTAGAAGTAAATAGTTTCGTCATGTTTAGTTGATAAAGGCATATTTTGGTACAAATCTTGAAGTGGGCCAACTGAAGTGGGAAGGGGCTCGTAGTATGTGGTTGTAAATCACTTGGTAATGAAGTAACGAAATATAGTTTGACAGATGAAATTTAAAAAATACTGTGTTACTTTATATTCTGAGCACCTAAATTATTATCGAAGCATGTAATGACACTTAACGACAGCCCAGTAGTTCCTAACCACGTTAACTGCGACCATTTTCAATTATAAGAAACGCTATGGATACGTGGTAGCCCTTTTATCGTGAAAACTTTATGTTATGTCAATTTTGATAACCAAACAAAGTAAACAAACGATGTGTTTTGGACGTTCCAGAAGGTTTAGCTTGTTCCATTTTTGAATGCTTGGAACAGGTACATCAAACGGTTACGAAGGCTGAAATTGTTACAGGATGGCACAAACTACACACTGTAACAATTCACGATCGCAGTTCTGCAGTGTGAAAACTGGTCTGACAGATCGCAGAGACAATAGCATCTGGTAACTGTACAGGGTGAATGTGCCAGTTTAGATAAACGTGGAATACAAAGTGTCATTATTACGCTTTAGGAGGCGATCATATACAGGGTGACTTTGAAGTTGAGTCATTAATTTTCAGATAATGATTGTAGAAGGAAGATAAACCAAAATATGTGTGTAAAAATAAAAAAAAAATAAAAAAAAAATTTTTACCTTGTTTTATAAAGTATCCTCCCGGCAAGTATTTCAGTGCGGACCTGTATTTGATCGTGAGGTCTTGGAGCACCGGCATGCCGTCCCCTGTGAGGTCTTAAGTCACCTGATTCACGAGCCCGTTGTACTACATTAACAAAGGCACGAGGGGTTGGTTGCACTCGATTGGGAAACCGATCCGCATAAACATGTGCCATTTTTTATTTCGTTTGAGCCACGCAACAGACACCACTATTCAAACGCGTTACCGACTGACACTGACTGTATACAACTGACTAAAATAATTGTAAAAACATCGTTCCAAATTCTTTCGCTTTTTTGTTTCCGATGCGATGAACTAAACACGAGCACATAATATTATTATTGAGACAGGGCGGTACTCAAACTTCCAAAGGGCTATAACTTTGTTACTTTAATTTTACCAGAAAAATGGTAAAGGAAAAAAACATTTCTTTTGATCAGATCTACTCACTGTTAAAATAAATGACTCAACTTCGAAGTCACCCTGTATAAGTTGTTAACTTTCCTTATATGTTTTACAAAAAAATATCAAGGAAAAAGGTGCTATTTTGAAAATACTCGGATATAAAGCACTACTAAACGATCGGCTTGTTTCCAATTGTCGAACAGCATTTGATTGGTCAGTCTTAGACAGAACCGTATTTAAAAATTTTCGTATAGTAGAATAGAAATTTCAAAGCAGCTGCCATTAGGAAATTCAACACCCTCATACTGAGTGCATTTAATATGGATATTTTAATAAAAAATACCTACAAACTAGGTAAAAATAAACAAGAAACTATTTTTTACCTTCAATCCGGTCCTGCACTGTCGACTTTGAACTACCATACTGTTTACATATTCCGAGCAATTTCCCAACATTTCTCACAGCTTTGACTGTCTCCTTCATCCTGCCTTCACTATATATACAGAATTTATTTTTTTCTTGGTAACCATTCCCGAATGATGTGGAAATGAGAAATTTTATTTCGCAGTCTCGTAAAAAAATGTCGCGAAAATGGAAGTGGTCTGGCTGGGGCTTCAGTCGTAGTTTGGTTTGTTAAGTTTCAAGAGATACTTTCTATGTTTACAGAGAAAAAGACAGATTGATAACTGATTTCTGCTCGGAAAGGAGGCAGAATACGTTTCATATACTCGTACATTACGATTACATAGCTGCTAAGCGTGCTAGTCCTACTTCAAGCATATACGAGGGATGTCCTTTAAGTTTTGCATATAGAAACATAGTAGGCCAAGCGGATCGAACGTCAGTACTGAATCTTAACCTCACTCTTTAGTAAACTTAAATCCAAAGTTTCACAACAATACGTGCAGTGTCCTCACTACAGTGAATTTTTAAGTATCACCAAGTCATTAGAAAAATGGAACTCAACCGAGAACATTTTCGCGCCATAATTTATTACAACTTTCGAAAAAGATGGTCGCGACATTCGTGTCAAAAGCGGGTCATATTGCAACAATTCCTCTTAATGAGCAAGCAAGTGTTACTGCGGATTGGCATACCACCATTTGTTTGCCAAAGGTCATCACCGAGCTCCGAAAATAAAAAAAACAAGGCAGTATTTAAAATTATTGGACCATCCTCCATATAGCCCTGATCTAAGTCCTAACGATTTCTTTACTTTCCCGAAAATTAAAAACAGACTACGTGGTCAAAGGTTCCAGTCACCAGAAGAATCAGTTGACGCATGAAAAAATGCCGTTTTGGATCTGCCAGCAACCGAGTGGAATAAGTGCTTCGAAAATTGGTTCGAGAACAGTAAAGTCATTTAAAACTACTTACCGTGTTGTTTTGATTCCATATGCAAAACTTAAAAGACATCCCTCGTAGATCCACATGTGCCATATTAAAAATAGAAAATTGAAGCTGGTATAAATTATGATAACTATAAAAATAGCGATCCCTGAGAGCAGGATTAATTTTCAGATTATCGTAAATTTAATGCGTATGCTATTTTTTATATTTCTATGGTTGCCAACTGGTTGTGCGTCTTTTTCCAATATCGTGAACCTAAATTTACGATATCCGTTTTTAAAATAGAGGTTGGATGCTGACAAAATCAAATAAATAGATTCTTTAGAATGAATGATTAATTATTTATCATTATTTACAGTAAGGTCATAAGAATCGAATGCTTCTTAACAAAAATGGACAGTTAGTTATGTGAAGTTCTCGCTAAAATCTTAGGAAATTCCATGCTCGATGCTTCGGAAATATTCTATTATTTGTAATCGATGCAGAAATGTTATAATCCAAGTTAAAAATCAAATATAAGAAATTGCATTATTGAAGAAGTTAAGGAGTACCTACTACTGAGAAACATGCAAATTTGCAGTTCTTTAAGTACGTGTCTTTTAATACATGT